CCCCCCCCCCCCCCCCAATTATCGGTCTAGCTACGGCCCTGGAGTCTTCACGTATCAGGAGCTCTTCAACTTTTAATACACTCAACTTTACTGTTTATTGCACGTTTGCTCTAACAGTTTCGTTTTCATGTTTGTCTCTTTTAAGTATGCCAGGCCCACTTGAGGGATATCCCCACGTTTTGTGCACGAATATATTTCTCTTTGATCTTGAGCGCAATCACAAGCCTATCCTTAAACGTATTGTGCACGAAACACGAGGAAATATTTTGAAATCACCACATGAGAACGAGGCTGTTGGTGCAACAAACAGCACAGTCTATTCTCTAAATCTTAACTCTGGACTCACGGCTAGCGAAGAACTGTTGCATTTTCTGTATAATTCTAACATTGTGAACTCTTACACTACTTTTCATGCAATGCTTATATGTGTTTCCTGTATCTCGTTAATGTTTTTAAACGGGGATTTCGTCAGAACAAGCGCCTTTCACCTCTTCACTTCACGTGGGTTCGGTTCTCGAAAGTCGTGGGTTTTCTCCGGGTGCTTCGGTTTCCTCCAACAGGGAAAGTTGACAGGGTGGATTAGGATAAACATAGTTAAAAAAGTAATATCACAATTGTTGTAAAGACAAAATAGTCTGGGCTAAGTATATAATAAAGTCAGCGTAATTATTAAGTATTTTCTTCAATGTTTGTTTGGTTAGGTTTTTGAACATTCAGGAACATTTACAAACTTTAAACTAGTTTCAACATAAAGAAGCAAGTGATTAAAAGGAGTAAACGGTTGTCGTTTTGGTCGTAACTATATATATATAAACTAAAGAGATCAAGAAAACGTCGTGATACTTCAACCAAAAAAGCCCTTCATCTACAAAAAGGTCTTCGCTTAAAACGTTGCAAGTTTTCTTTTTTTGGAAGACAAAAACGAGCATAGTTTATTACTGAATATTACCTAACCCCACACTTATGAAGAGTAAATTGAATTTATATTCTATTTAGTATTTGCTGGTTTCAAATCCATTATATTACTTTTTAGAAAGGAAGCACGCATTTACAGAACAGTTGTGTTACACGCAGCATAATCTTACCTCAGATTTAGTTTGACCATGACAAGGATGAGCTACGCTTCTACTCTTGTTATCAAATCCACAACAATTTCCAAATTTCTCCCATTTTCCTTTTGTTTCATTATCAAGATTATTCCAGCCATGTGATAATAATGTGTGTTCATATTTATCTGAAATTGCGAGCGCCGCGCAGGAGAAGGCAAACAGTAGAATGAAGATAAGAATTAATATGATCATATACTACGTTTTGTTAAGGAATACTCTCCTATATATTTCGTGGCTAGATAGTGAAATCCACCATTCTGGCAGTGCTGCCATGCACAGTAAATCTCAAAACGCAGCGCAGTGTGAACCCAGAATAAAACGAGTATGAGGGTAAAAAATGACAATTACATGCTGCAGTATAGCAGGCGAAAGTTAACACGAAATAAAAGTTCCTTCAATTCTCATCGCGGTATATTGCTCAATTATTGAAGAACGAACTACATTGAGGCACGATGTAGTGTAATAAAGCCTTGGGTTTTTAGATCTTTCACGATTAAATCAAAAGCAGATTAGCTCCCTTATGCAAAAATCAAGGCAGTATATAAAAGAACTAAATGCATGTTCACCCAACACATTTTTATTTTATCTTATCTTACCTATATATACTTTTATTTTGTCAATTCTGGACTTTGGCTAGAAAATGTTGATTGTTGACTACGTCTAACAGATTGTATATACTTAGTATTGAAATATAACTGAGATCCCTCCCCTAGTTTTTCAAATACTTAAAATTAGAATTTTAAAACCCTTACAGTATATATTAAAATTTCGAAACTCTCTCACCTATTTTTTCTTACATTCTGAAACTGGTCTCTCTTGGCTGTAGCCTCGGTGGGCCTGAACGAGGGCTAGGCTGCAGCATTATTATATAATATTTGTAGAGGAATAATATTAATAATGAATAATTACAAATGTTTCGTAAAGGATACAAAAAACAATATAATTTGATTATGCCTGGCAGCACCATAAATTCCAGCGATAGCAATAAGCATGAGAAAGACACCACTGGCTATTGCTCCACCAATGATTGGCCAGCTTGTGAGTAGCTGGCTAAATTTGGAGTACACTGGTAGTATTATTAAGATTAACCCCACAACCTGGAAATATTAAACATATAAACCAAATCACTAAAAGTTATAAATAATCTTGGTTAACGGTTAGCATCTGCCAACCTCGTTCCCAGTGTCTCACTTCCGCTCATGGGGGAGTAGCGGAGGCGAGACCCTGTGAGAAAGACGGTCACACCCGCTTGAAAAATATTGAAACACTTCTTTCAATATTTCGAGTTTCTATGATTTATGGCTGATGTAAAACCATTACCCCACCATTAAACCTAACCCTTTTTATACAGTATTTACACACAGATCAGTGGTATAGTTACATCATGGCCAAAGGTGAATGTCCAAGCTTCTTTAAATAAACCTATAGCTATAAATTAATAAAGCTCAAGCTGTAGGTCCGCAGTTTTTTACAAAATTTTGTAGTTGAATGGCTACAGCTATATATACTGTTTTAAAAATGTAGCGAACTACAGTACAGTATTCACTACTGTGCTATGGCAAAGAATCCTGCTCTCCACTTTACATTAATTCCATATTTTACAATAACTAATGCAGTAGTGCTTCAAATGACCGGAAATGTGATAAGTGACTGTACATTATTTATACCCTATATGGTGGGGTGGGGAAAATGGAGGAGGGGTAATACAATGTTCACTTTGCCTTATGAGGAGGGTCTTTGCTTTAGTTCGAGCCTTGGGTTGTTAAAAAACAAAAGCAAAAATTGTAGCACCATCTTACCAGGGGTGTATATTCTTCAATGATCTTTGATTCTTCCCACCCCCCCCCCCTTCTTTTCATATTTGATTCTTTTCCCCATATCTTTAGCCTACTACATCGGCCTGTATCTAATAGTATCTTTGCTCCCAAGATGGAATCAAAAAGAATTAAATTAAATAACTAAAATAAGCTTATTATTTATTAAATTTGCAATCCGCAGTAAAGCTTTTTATATTTATTCAAGTTACTTTCCAACATGAACAATCAACATTAATTTAGCTAAAGAAACGTTTTCTCTGGTTTCCCCCTACCCTTCCATTTTTTACTCTTCTTTGATTTTCTTCCCTGGCCCTAAGACCCTTTGATTACCCCAAGAATATGCAGCCCTGCTTCTTGCAAATAAAAATTTCTGCTGAATGGGTATTTTTTGTCATATATAAACGTTTTGTGTAAAATTCAATGCAAACAAACATTCTGGCTCTTACAATGTATTTTCTTCATAGTCAGACATTAGAGGACGGCATGTAGGTGACGACGGTAGGACGATGGACGATGTAGGACGGCAACGTGACGACGACGGCCAGAATAAAATCATTCAAATAAACAATTGAAAAGAAAGTCTGCAGACTATTATTGATTGTATCAATTTAATACTGTTTGGTTACAGTAGTTTGAAATAGTGGTTTTATTGTCGAGAGAGCTCTACTGTAGTACTGAGCTAATTTACCGAGTATCACTTCTCGCGTCTTGAAATGCAAGCGTTTTATTCAAGACGTAAAAGTCTGTAATTTCCCGTTGTAAACACACCGTGGATGACGTCTCAAACGCCCGCGGGATATTAACTATTCTTTTTTTCCTTAAATATTATGAATCTCATTGTATGAATAGCCGTCGTCGTCACGTTGTCGTGCCACATCGTGCGGTTTCTATTAAGCGAATTTTTCTTTGTCTTGTGATTTCTCGGGTGGAACTAATTAGAAAAGACAAAGAAAAACTCCGCTCCGCGTGCAAAATTCCGCCTAGTGGAAAACCGGCTTCAACATATGCATCATGTATACAGTATACAGTACAAGTATTTAGGGGCGTCTTCATTATTAAGAGCATCATAAAGGGGGCAGGTATATATATTATCAATGTGATATAATATATGTATTATATCAATATGATATAAGAATATCCCACCCCACCCTAAGGTATAAATAATGAACGGTTCCTAAATAAAAATAAAGCAGGGGTAAAACCCATAGATAACATATACACACTAGAAAGCGCATCTAATTATTCTGCAATTCAAAAATTGAAGCCGTGATTGCAGACTCAGGATATTCCCATGAAATGAGAAGATTCGTATGTTTTCTATTTCTTTAACACTGGGAACTTAAACATTAAGTTCAACCTATTCCAAATACATTTTTAAACTATTCAAATTATGAAAGTTATTGTACCGTTGTTTCTTAAGCGTTTATTAGCGAGTGAGAACTACCAACATGGCCGCCATCTATTCAAATGGGGGTAACCGCTTGTTAATTCTTGGCTTCAATTTTACTAAAAGAGATGCGCTATCTAGTGTATATAAGATACCTATGGTAAAACCGTATAAGTGTGTAACAACAATCAACATAAAACAGCTAACATTGTCAAAACATTGGCATAACTCTAAAGTTGTTGGCAGTAAATGAAAGGATAATATGCACTGGTAATGAGATTTGGTGTGATAACAAATTCTTTTAGTCCAGTCGACTTATGACAAATTTGTATATACTGTAACTAAAAAGTATAGTTTAGGCAGAAACAACGTGTTTCCACTCAACAATTAAACATGATTCTAAAAACCCAAAGGGAGTTAGATTCCAGTTGTTTGAAAGCTGATTACTTAACCCTAGGTTGAGCCTAAAATTCAGAGGAAATTCCCAAACAGATTTAGAAATTTGGAAATATTTCTTCAGCAATCTTGTTTGGATCAACATTATTCTCTGAAGTTTTGAGATAAACAGACACGCAAAAATACACAACCAAAGCAGGGGGTTAAATTTTAACCCAGGGTTAGCGCTGATCCACCTTTAAACAATCGGTCCCAGGTGATTGCATGTGGATATTGAAAAATTGAATACTGTATATATCAGAAATGTTCATTCAATCATGCAGGTATACCATTGAGGTGCTCTACACTATTGACAAACTGACATTTACAATGTTCCAATTGCCTATAAAAACCTATAGGTTTCCTATAGGTTGGCCAATAGGCCAGGTCTATATACTTTTTTGTAAGGGTTACATTTTGCTGGTACCATACGACCTAATACCATGCCCAAGGTAATCAAAACCATGTATACGTAACAGTATATACACTTAGGTACATCTGACATGTCTTGGCATGAAACTGACTGGACTGATGGGTCAAAGGAATGTTGGAGTTGATTCTAGTAGTCGGGTACGCAATTGTCGTCAATCCTTCTTGTTCCAACTCGTTGTTTCAGGTTATTGTCTGAATGAATACTTTTCAAAAATCTGTACTATGTACTTTAGACTATAAGACTAGTACACCTTGAGTCTCAAGTTTGTACCAGCTCAAGTATGAGGCAATAATTATTGGAGTACCAGTCAAGTAGGGCAACAAATGTTGAATGATATAATTATCATACCCTGATATACCACAACAAAAGGTTCAAAATACAGCAATCAAGATTCACACTGATGAGCTGTTGTGGACAGTAAAGTTGGGCAGTTTACCAGTATTTTTATCACAATATTTTGTTGATACTGGTATGGTGGTATTGGTTTTAATGCTATACCAGTATACCATTATTATGGTATGCTATAAAATATACTTGTATCAGTAGCTATCAGTAGGTTAAAAGTTTAAAAGTTCACAAATGAGAAGTGAACACACTATTTGTCTCCCGAAATAGAATATAGTTAATCGAAGACAGTATATTGTTAACAATTTACTATAAGTGGACAAAAAAGGGACGCTATGTGTATTTTATTGCCAATGGGATTTTATGTTCATAATGCGTGAAAATCTTTTACAAGGAGGTCAATTTTAGGTCCCGAATACACTGGTTGTTTCCTTCCATCTACCAAACTGACATGATGTCATTTTCAGAAGATGGAAGAAGTGTTAAATGGCTATGTAACTAGCCTGAGGCGGTTTATACAAAAACCCCAAAAAACAACCGGAAAAAAACGAGTGAACCGGGGTTTTTTTTACGGTAAAAAAGACACAACATGCTACTCAGTACTCACACAAGATATTAAATGTAAGGTATTTTGAAGAAGTTATCAAATTTCAAACAAAATCTCTTCGTGTGTAAATGCCAAAACTTGATTCATTTTAACAAACTCATATAAGTATGGTTCGATTTTAGTAAAATACTGATTTTTCTTTGTTTTTTTCTTCGTTTTCCCGGGGTTTTTTCGGGTTTTTCGATTTTCTGTTTTTTCTCCAAAAGTAACATCAAGTATTTTGGTTTTCAAAAAACATAATTTTTTTTTGGTTTACCGAAAAAACCGCTTCACCCTATATGTAACTAACCCAAACCCTACCTTTACTCTAACCCTAACCCTTAACCTAACCACAACCCAACTCTAACCCTAATGCAATTAATAAAAAAAATCCAAAAAGAAACACTTTAGAAATTGATCAAATGACGTAACGTCAGTTAAACTCAGTTTGGTAGATGGAGACAAGTGAAAACTGAATACACTGCCCGAATTGCATAAATATTTCATTTATATTTCTTTGTTTCACATGTTTTTTAAAAACAAAACGTTGAATGCAAAAATTTAAAACTACCGCATTTTATTAAAAATTTTCGATTCGCAAATGCCAAAACTTGGCTTGTAAATTGCAATTTGCGACCTGCTAATTCAAACCCTGGTTTCAGTACTGTAAGAATTCCTTCCAATTTCCTTTAGGTATTTTTTAATATTTAGCCACTTATTACAAATTGACGTATGCAAAAATTGTAACATTTCCCGAGAGCAACAACAGCGGGTCCAGAAAATATGCTGTTTTCCCAAGGTCTCTGTCAATAAGTGTTTTTATTATATGGTATAGTAAGTGTCAAAGTCTCAGTAACATGCAGAAATTCCTGACAGAACTTTGCCTTGAACTTGCTGGTTAACGTGAGCAGCTCGTGTCTAGGCTGGGGCGGTTCTTGAAAAAAACTGAAACCGAAAACCATCAAGAAAAACCCGAAAAAACTGGTTTTTAATCTATAAATAACACACAGACATAAAACCGTGTAGCACATGTTTTTATTATGTGAAGAATTTTGGTTTTAGATGCTTAATATCAAAAGAGGGTGGGAAAGGGTATTTTCGTGAGCCGTGAATGGTCAATATTTGTTCGTGTGAAATGCTTGATTTTAGTGTCGTGAAATGTGATTTGTTCTACAGCCGTGAGGCGTGATTTTCAATAAAAATGCTCCGTGAAATGAGAATTAAAGTGTCTGTTTCGTGAACTATGATTTTGCTTTATCTATTTCGATCTATTTCGTCAGTAATAGTCATAATAGACATGATACGCGATAATCAATTTATATGATCTCACTCGATTGCACAAGAGTAAAAACTTTGGAGGCCTTTCGGTGGTCGTCGGACATACTCGTCACTCAAACTTTTTAAGTTATGGTGTAGTTTTTAACTGCCAGGCAGAGAAGTGAGAGAACTTAAAGTGTGGTACTGTACCATGCATTAAACATACTCTTAATAAACCTATTATTATTATGTTATTTTATTTGGATCTACTTTTCCGTGAAATTGCTTTTTTATGACATGTGAATCGTGAAACAGCTTTTTTTTTCATTGTGAAACGTGATCCATACCCCTTCCCACCCTCTCAAAAGCTTACAGAGGTATAAAAATACAAAGTAAGAAGACAATGTTAAAAGAATGTATTATTTTACAAGTTTTCAGCTAGAATTAGCTGAAACATTAGCCTTTTTATCTTGTTTTTTCCCAGTTCTTTGTCTTTTTCCGGGGGTTTTCGGTACTTGTACTTTGGCAAAACCGAAAAACCAGTTTTTAAAAAAAAAAGTATTGTCTGGTATACCGAAAAACCGCCTCAGCCTACTTGTGTCCCACTTCTGGTTTTATTATTGACCAGTCAATAATTGTTTCATTGTTGACCAGTTGCCCCCTTGCAAAAAAAGCATGCAGTGAACTTGTTTTGTGGACCGGCACGTGATATGGTTTGGTCCAATCGACAAACAGGAAAATTGAACTTTGACACTTGCTATTGAAGACAATGTGACGCCCATTTTTGGCAATGCCAATGGTCTGGAGATAGTGAGATGAAAAATTGATGACATCAACTCAGAGGGCCCCCTATACCTCTTCATAATATGCTTTCACGTAAAAATATTTTGCCTTTTCACAAGTCACGGATTAAGAAAATCATCGATCACGTTTCACGGCTAAGTAAAATAAGCCCTTCACGCTTCACACAAAAATTATAGGGGGCCCGATCACGTTTCACAGCTAAGTAAAATAAGCCCTTCACGCTTCACGCAAAAAGTATAGGGGCCCCTCAACTCAGATAATATATCACATACAGCCTATGAACTGTTTGCTTTTTTTTCCTAACTGAAAAATCTCATACAATCGTAATATGGCAGCTGTAGTTCTCAGTAATCAATATATTTCACATTGTCCAATATTAAATCCTAATATATATTATTTTTAACACCTGGCCTGTTATATGTTGGTTTGAATCGTTTTTGAAAATGAAAGCAGAAAATCTGAGTTTTAAACATAAAGAACACATTGGTATATTCTTTGTACTAGTGTGAAAGTTTCTGTACATATACTGCAAACTGTATAATATTGGACAAGGCTATTAATTTAAACTACATTTCTGGTTTTGTATATTTTTAAGATGTATCACTTACTATATACATCACATTCAAAGAGATGAGTGTCTGCCTCGTACAGCCAAAACCACAAGACTTCATCGTGCTAGTATGGACAACGTGACGTTTACGTGCGTTGAAAATGTGTTATTGTTTATATAATAAATTTCACGCCATTTTGAACATGTTTTGTCTGCCTTTCTTTCCTTTCTTTACAGAGCTTGCTTTCTTTATCAAAATTTTATTAAAGCAGTTGCTCTCCACTTCCCATTGCCAAGAATTCCTTAGATTATCAATAAAAAATTCCTCAGATTAATCAACCTCAGATTAACCTCAGATTTCCTCAAATTCAGAAATTTTATTAAAATTTTTCGATCAAAAAAGAAATTTGTGGTAACACTGCCAACGATAGGATAATATGACGATAGGTTCCGAACCTTCCGAAACTGAAACGAGAGCTGGGAGAAAGAGTATATCGTATTCATTTATATGTATTTCAGGCTTTTGGAGTTTTCAAAACAAATGTAAATCTTTTTAAAAGCACTATGTTTCGCAAAAGAAAGAACTTTCTAATCAGATAATTGAAGAGGTAAGTCAACTTACACGCATTTTCTATCTTGGCCGCCAATAGCGGTGCTGAAACGGTATTGGTTTGGGCACATCTTAAAATATTCAGTTACAAGTGCTGTGCTCGGGTTTCAAACATATTTATGCGGGCAAAAAGTCTAAAACTTATTCGGGAAATGTTTTTTTAAATTTCTGTCTTTTTTTGGAAATTGGGATTAAGAACATTACAAAACGTTACCTTCGAGCAGTTGAATGTTATGTTTGTGAAAGGACATGCTCTAAATCATTTGAGAATCTGAATGGTCATAGACATGTATGTTCTCGTTAAATCGTGCAAAGACAAAGGGTGGCATCACTGAGCTGATTATTATGGTAAAAATTAATTGTCATATTTTAGTAAGGTTATCCAGACATTCGGTTTTATTTATCACCTCAAAATCTTATATTTAGTCAAAGTCTTAATGTGTAATAAACATTTATTGATAATAGAGTACCAAATATATCATTTTTATTGGATGCCAAAAAAAACCTTTATTAACCCTCCCCAGTGATGTCACAATGTCGTAGAATTAACGCTATACAAACCTGGCTGTTGTATATGTTCTGTATATTGTTACTCAAGTGCTCAGAAAAATTATTTCCTTTTGAGTTCCAGTGTTTTGAAAAATATTATTGCCGACATCAGCATTATAATTTTTCAAAAGCTGTTTACTATGTTACACACAAAATTTAGTTCAAAAAGCTTGGGTTAAGAAGTGAATTCTAATATGACCTTAAAAAGATTGAATTAAAACATTTTGGCTGAACTCGCTATTATTTTAGTTTTTCATTTTTGGCCGCCATATTGGATGGCAAATTTGGTGCAATTCTGCCATTCAACATGGTAGTCAAAAAAATGAAATGCTAAAATAATGGTAAATCTTAGCCAAGATCATTGGAATCTTTTTACGGTTATAGCACAAGTTACTTTTAACAAAGTGACTATATGACCGGCAGCCGGTCACGGTTTATCAAATACTAAATGGCCGGCAGTCTAGTGACTAGATTTAAATATAAAAACTTTTGTTTGCGTTAGTATTTACCGAGCTTGCTGTTGGCGTATTTGGCAAAGGCGCTGCAAGCGAAAAGTGAAACACAGTCAGGGTCGGGATGTGTTTTGTCTGACTTAGCATTGTTTTTTCTTAAAAATTTTTCCGACTTTTCTAACTCTCAAAAGGTTAGGGTTAGGGGGTTAGGGTTAGAGAAGGGTTTGGGGTTGGGGATCAGTTTATCTTTAAAAATTCAACTTTAACAATAGTCACTGTACTGCCAGCCATTTAGTATTTGACAAAACCGTGACCGGCTGCCGGTCTTATAGTCACTTCGTACTTCTAAACCTTAACTAAGCATTTCAGACATGCAACTAAGCAACTTTGCAGCTTCTCAATATTAGATTTTCGAACATGTTGATGGAAACCACCTATTTATTTCTGGCATTCTTGAGTAGGGGTGTGTCAGGGAGCAGGGTGTACAAGAAGGGGACTTAATAGAGAGGGAGGCTTATTCAATCTTAGTTATGCTTAGGGTGAGGCGGTTTCTACAAAAAACAGAAAACCGACCAAAAAAAAACAAAAAAACCGAGTGAACCGGTTTTTTAAAAAAATACGTTCGAAAATCGAAACTAAGGTAAAAAAGACACAACACGCTACTCAGTACTCGCGCAAGACTTCGGTTTAAAAAACAATTATATTAACCCTTGCTACGAAGTATAAAAGGAACATGCAGTGTACAAGATATAATTTTTACAATAAACTATACAGAGAAGTCAGTTGTATCTGCATGTAGCTGTGAGCATGTGCCTATGACATAGCAAATAATTCTATTTATATCTATGCCGTGTTCGATATGAATATTTTAGACCTGTCTTCGCAGACGTCCGCCTTTGTTGCTAGCGAATCAAAATTCACCATCGTTTGATCCGCTTAATCGCTTATTCGTTCAAGACTTCAAGCTCGCGCGAAACTGTATGGTTTGATTTTAGTAAAATACCGATTTTTCTTCGTTTTTTTTTCGTTTCTTCCCGGTTTTTCCGGTAGTGAAATACCGATTTTTCTTCGTTTTTTTTCTCGTTTCTTCCCGGTTTTTTCGGTTTTCCGGTTTTTCTCCAAAAGTAACATCGAGTAATTCGGTTTTAAAAAAAATCGTTTTTTTCCGGTTTACCGAAAAACCACATCACCCTAGTTATGCTGTGAATATAATAACAGTAAAACTACATTTGTGAACTTCCAGGCCAAATAAATCTGATCAGTAGGTTTACAGTAAGGCTATGTGTAAAAGGGTGTCGTTTTCAAAAACGTTTTGTCCCTTTAATCGTTTTGATGCCCTATTCACATGGTACAACTTATGTTGTAAATTTGTAGTATTTGCATCCATTTTAGCATGAAAACACAAATGAAAACGCTCGAAAATGTTACCATGTGCACATAGTCTAAGTTTCCAAGTTTCTTCGTTGTGGGGCAGGGGGGGGGGCATAGAATGAAAGGTAGCTTGCAATGCAACTTAACATTAATGGGCAGATTGTCTAATTAACCCACTGAGTACTGGCACTCTCCCCTTGATGAGTAAAATTGTCTGGTATTAGACAGAGTAAAATAATAAAGTAGGGTGCATTGCTGCACAATGCAATTTAACAGGTTAAATTAATAGCTCATATCTTGAGTTTAGAAGATATTATACATGTACTAACAATAATTAATTTAGAGTTTTTATCTTATATTATTACACTATATAGTAATGTACTGTAATATAATTGTCATAATACAATAATTCACAATTTAAACTATCATTTTTTTTAAAGATTTTCAAACAGACAAATTTTCATATATTCATTGGATATTCCTTGAAACTTCTACTTTTAGATAAATCTTCTCAGATCTTCATGACCAAAGATGTAAGTACTAAATAGTTCAGTAACCAATCAATGTTTAAGCATCTACCTTTTTGAGGGTTTCCTCCCCCGGCTAACCATGGCATATTGACAGCCTTGTACAACTTTGACATTTGTTTGAAACAGGGTTTGTGTACACCTTCATAATGGATCATTCCAGAAAACATCCATACCACCCCCACAGAGGAAATTGGAAGTTAACCCCCCTAACCCTTCGGATGTCCTAATTCATTTACTATTATTAGAAATAGTTTTGTCTCCCCTCCCCCTCTGGACGGCAGAAATTTCCTCCGTGGGGGCAGTGTGGATCTTTTCTGGAACAACCCAATTTGAAAAATCCAAGGTTTTCCAGGACTTTTTTCAGCCTTTTTCCAGGGGCATTTGAAATATAAATGTTTAACCGATAAGGAACATTTGTGACGGCTACTACTTCATCTTGCACAGATATTTTTTGGGTTTGTACCAGTTTGAACAATTAACATTGCGCCGTTGTGTGATATGCCCCAGAAATGTTGCGACTATATTCAAATTTTGGGTTCCAGGTTCTTGCCTACCTAAGCCATTTTCATTTCCACATGATTGTTTAATCAAAATAATTACAAAAAGGAAGTGTTTTGACATTGTAGCTGTAGTAATATTTGTGGTTAACTTTTGAGGTTCATGGCAACAAAATAATATGTTTTATTGCAAGCATGTTTTACTTTGAGAATTTGGATACCAGATTTTTAGTTTGGACACTGCTGGTATCCACAATGGATTTCAGGAACAAGTTCTAATCTCAAACCCAGGTCCCAGACTCGGTCTAGATCAGTGAACTCTAAGGGAACTGGAACGATAATTTGGCCGCCATCTTTGAAGCCACTCATGATGGCTGCCATGCACGGAGTGGAAAATACGCCGCCTAAAAGATGTCTGTTTTTGACCACTAAATAGCTGTATTTCAACAAGGAAAAAAACTAAAAACTTTCAACAAATTATACCTGAAATTTAATACAAAACATGTTTCCAGAACGTAGAGCAGTTTTAAAGTTATTTTTTCAAGAGTCGAAGTGCAAAGTTTTTTCCGGCACATTCAAATTTGTGTAATATTTTGAATATCAAGCTTTTACCCAGGACATTTTTGCTGTTAGTGGATGTAAATTGTAAAATACTATCCAGGAAACCAGGTTTGAATCTTTAAAGTTGAAGCCTTTGATAAAAAAGTACTTTTTCTTGCTGATTTTTACTCAAAAACAAACTTTTGACTGAATTTCCCGCATTCTCGTACCCAGAGCCCTTCTTACTGTACGTGCGGTGCGACGAGGGACTCTGGCCAAATCCATAACCGGATACCATAAAAACATGGTAAGAAAACAATGTCCGGTGTTAGAACTAGCCAATCAGATGCCAGTTCGGAATATGGATTTGGCCAGAGCCCCTCGTCGCACCGCGGTAAGAAGGGCTCTGGGTACGAGAATGAATTTCCCGCTCCTTGAAACTCTCCCTAGTCCTTTTGAAAGTTAATTTTTTGCTTTTTGAGCCTCGCGAGAAGTGCCATCTTGGCATGTTTATCTGCAGTTAGCATTCCAGTGTTATTACAGTTCACTGAATCAGATCTAGATGCAAACAGTACTTCCACTTTTCAAAAATTAAAATTTCCTTTGAAATTATATAAAAAATTGGAGATGTACGCTGAGATAGTACAAGGTAAAAGAATAAGAGAGCCCACTGTTTTTTTAATGGGTGAATGAGTGTGATGTTTGACTAAATATGCCTTTCTTGTTCATTGCCAAGTTAATTTGTAAATTAAATCATCACTAGGGATTACAAGCAGGCATCAAGCACAAGTAAAGATTCTCGGGGCAATGGAGATAATGGGGGACCTGTGGCAGAAAACTGGTGTTACACTCAAGTTAAGGTTATCAAATTTTCATACATGTGGACTATCAATAATTTCAGTTACTGCAGAGAAGAAATGGGAGAAACTTTAAAAAGTTCAATGTTTTCTGCTGGAGAAAGTGATAAAATGAAATGGTGAGTATAGTTATTGCAATTTAGCTATGCAGTACCACAGCCAACTGTCAGTGGTCTGTTTTGTGGCCAATATAAACTTCTCTCGGGAAATCAGACTACACTATATGTTTAGCACTCCATGCCACACTATTTTCCTGTAATATAACGATTAAGGTTATAATGAAATTCTGAATCAATGTGCATATTGCTCTATTTAAAGTTCTTTGCTGTTTTATCATTTTCATTATAAAAATTTGTATTATGATCAAAATTTTTAATCCTGCAGTAAAACATTGGGGTTAGATAAAAAAAAAATCATGGCAATGGTACGACAGGTTTTCATTTTGGGCTGGCAAACGGCGAAATTCGCCAGAGCTTTACATTTTGCTGCGTTTTGCCACTCTAGAGCATCGAAATTTCAACATTTTCTGTAAGATCATGCCCCCAGAACCCCGGCCAAGGTTTGTGTCTTTTGCAATAGCTTTTTCACAGTCACTTTCACCGAAAACTGAAAACTTATGGGCGGTTTAATTCCAAGTAATGGTTTGATAAAACCTTTCTTCTTCAGGTGCTTACGTGTAAATCCTAAAGGTTTAGATGAAGAAAGCAAGGACTATTTATCCTTATATTTGTTATTACTTGCTACTAACAAGAATGAAGTTCGAGCTAAATTTAAATTTTCTATCCTGAATGCGAACAGAGAAGAGACGAAAGCAATGGGTAAGACTTAAAACCATTCCATTGATAGTTTGTTGCCAACTATTAAAACTACAAAACTTCTGCCTATTACAGAAAGCCAGAGAGCATATAGATTTGTTCAAGGAAAGGATTGGGGTTTTAAAAAGTTTATAAGACGAGATTTTCTACTGGATGAAATTAATGGTCTCCTTCCAGATGACACATTAACTTTATTTTGTGAGGTAAGTGTGTGTACATAATACACCTTCCGTGCGTAATCTTGGCCAGAGCCTCGTTTTCGTGATTTAGACGTCAGACTTTAATTAATAGCGAGCTTAGGGGCTGTTTATATAGTCCTGGCACGTCCTGCTTATCCGGGATTCAATGAAGTGTGAAGTATTTTGAGCAATTGAAATTCGTTTTTCAGCCCTAAACAAAAGTTAGATAACTTTAGATATTGTTTAAACGGAATTAGGAACGAGCTAGAAGTTATGTAGATTGTAGTGGAAGATTAATAGCGTTCAACACTTGTTTTTTGCCTAAAAGATGGGATTTCATACAATTTGTAACAAACAATTTTGTTAGATCATGAAGTGCTGTTGATTATTTCGATTGCTCAAAATACTTCACATTTCATTGAATCCAGGGTAACAGGACCATATAAACAGCCCTTAAAAGCGACGTTTTGTCAACACGAGAGACGCCTCACCCGAAAATTGGTATACATTGACTAATTTTGGCGGCATTTTACATCATAGCGCTCGTGCAAGAAACATGTTTTGTCATATGTTTTGTCGTATATGTTGAAGATTACCACAAACTGATACAAACACAGTTTTTAATCCAGTCCCCCCTCCCCTCGGCAATCTGACGTTCGTGGTGACAAAAACGTCGCTTGCTTAACCTCGCTATTGTCACATACAAACGAGGCTCTATAGCCAAAGTGACGTACTTTCCGGAAGGGTGTATTGTGTCACAACTGAAAATTGCTCAAATTGTAACTTTGAAGATATTATATTCATGAATATATACTTCATTCCAGTATGATGATACCAAGGACTAATCCTAGCTTGTTTATTCCTTCAGATTATACCGTTTTCTGAATATTAAAATGCAAGCTCTAAATATTAAAAGGTTCTAAATATTAAAATGCAAGCTTTCGACTGCCAGTTACAAGTTGAGAAGATGGAGAATTTAAAACTATCATATTTAGTGCTGTTTTTCTTCAACTATGAAAATGTTTTGGGCATTGTACACCGTATCAGTGAAGTACCATCTAAGGACTGGTAACGAGCCTGCTTCAGTGCCCTGCTTTGCCCTGCCTTCAAACAAACATGCATCCATAGTATGGACACAGAATAAAGACACACAGAAGGTCGACTCGAGTAACGCTGCCACGCCATGATTCATCATCAAAATGCTGACGCCATAGTCCTAGACAGTGCGCGTTTGAGAGGCATTCTCCCCCCCCCCTGGACGTCCGCCATTTTGAATATTAGACAGATTTAGATCGAGGACGCGGACGTCAAAGACGACGTGAAAATGGCGTGTTGTTCCCATGTATGGATATGCCACGCCATTTTGACGTCATTTTCACGTCGTCTTTGACGTCCGCGTCCTCGATCTAAATCTGTCTAATATCAGGGGGTGAATGCCTCTCAAACGCGCACTCGCTAGGACCATGGCATCAACATTTTGATGATGAATTTACGGTTACGCCAAAGTCATTGGAAAATCATAGGAAAAACCAAGAAGTCGGGCTTCTGTACAACTTACATTCCAGACCTCATTTTTTATAAGAACTTGCAAAACGTGGAACATATTAGACAGTAACTTGCGTACTAGAGATATAGGTTTGCTGTCTTTTAAATCAGGTCTTAAACTCCACTACAAACATGCACTATCCAAAACATTCAAATGTGACGATCCGCGCACCTGGAAATCAGTGTGTGTAAAGTGCAAAAGAGCAAGATCGCTTAACAATGAAATAAGTTGTTGTTAGCCTTATTAGTTTTAGCTTGTTGAGTTGCTTGAAAATTTGTTTTGTACAGTAATTTTATTCTTGTTTATATGGGATCGCCGTAATTGGGGAAACCTGTGGCGAATTCCCTGGCTCTATATGTTGCATTTAAATAGTAGCCGAATCTTATTAAATATTAAATATTAAATATTAAATATTAAATATTAAATAACTTATTCTGTGGTATGGATGCTTGTTTGAAGGCAGGCGCGTTACCAGTCCTTTGCATCCCACATTAATCAGTGGGCCTATTATCATGGTCAGCGCTTGTTTTCATCTACCAAACTGACGTGGCGTCATTTTCGGAAGATGGAAGAGATGTTAAATGGCTATGAAACTAACCCAAACCCTCCCCCTTCTCTAACTCCTAACCCTAACCGCAACCTTAACTCTAACCGTAACCTTAAAGATGCGGTACAGTCCGTATATAAACAAAGGCTTTGTTTACATTTCGGTATCTAAAGTATTGAATTTTATTCGACAACTATTTATATATTCATGATTCTAGAGTATAATAAATTATCAAGACACAACAATCAAGCTTTGCAAGAACATAAAATGAAATAAAAACCTAAATAAACTGTTTGTAAATAAAAAGAGGGCTCCTTTGTGCACATGCGCAGATCGGACTGTACCGCATCTTTAACCTTAACCTTAACCTTAACCTTAACCTTAACCTTAACCTTAACCTTAACCTTAACCTTAACCAAATTAATACAAGTCCCAAAAGAAACAACTTTAGAAATTGATCAAATGACGTAAAGTCAGTTTGGTAGATGGAAACAAGTGAAAACCTATAATCATTTCACCGCCCACTATACTACTGTACCAGCGCCCTGATAGCACTACTTGTTTTGTTAGGTGAGCGTGATTGCTGATTCAGTCAATGTCTCTGGTTCATCAAGTCAGACTGCTTTTAAAGTACAAGAATGTAACTTAGCTTGTCAGTTGGGAAATTTACTTGACACTGGACTATTGTCTGATGTTTCTTTGACACTAGCTGATGGTAAACACTTCAACGCGCACAAAGCTATCTTAGCAGCAAGGTCACCTGTGTTTGGAGCTATGTTTGAACATGAAATGGAAGAACGTAAGAACGGAAGAGTGCAAATATTAGATGTTGAATCTGATGTTTTCAAAGAAATGTTACAGTTTATTTACACTGGCAAGACAAGTAAACTGAACGAGATGGCGCCTGAGTTACTGGCTATTGCTGATAAAGTAAGTATACTAGAAGTTACTATCGCAAGGAAAGTGCTGCCACATCCCGCCTTCCATCATATAAGCATGTAAAGCACTCCTAAGACACCTAGGTAGGTAGGAAAAGTGCAATTTGAATACGAAAACGCCTTGGACAAAGTCGAAAGTCAGCTAATTATTCTAATTCTACTTTCTTGGCTTGGACGGTTTTATACCTTCAATGCTTATAATGTCTTGCTTCTGTATGTGTAATTAAAATATCGTTAGCCTCTTAGCATAATTGCCAAAATGCGTTTTTTGCCTGTATAAGTCATTCTGTAATCAGTTGTTGCATATGCCGCAAAAGTGCCTATCTCATTAACCAATCAGAAAGCTTTTTATATGCCGTAAACAACATTTGCCTTTGTCACGAGCGTGAGTTACGCATTTATTACTGGTAACAACATCCAAGATGGCCACATCAAAACTTTAAAAAAATGAGTTAGGCAATTATGCTAAGAGGCTGACGATATGAAAGTTTCGGATTGATAGGGACACATGTACAACTACCTGAAAATACAACTTCTTGTATCCCTATCAATCCCAAACTGTCGTGCACTACGTATACACTGGCACAGTTCAAGATTATAATAAATTATACAAATGATTAAATTCATGTTATATCAGATATCTCTATCAGTTTTGTCGAAATTGTTCTCCCCAGAGGTCTAGCACGGGACATCCCTCATTGCCCCAGTCAGTCCAGTGTAGCCTACTCTTCTGTGACAAACGAGAAGGGTACACACTACATATTTGGCAGAGCACGTCAAGAGATTGAGGAGCTGCTAACGAAGGGATGAGAGTTTTTATTCTGAGTTTTCAAATTCAAACTCACATTTCCCTCTACCACCTACTTGCTCTCCCATGTACCACCACTGTTACAGATAAGCTCCAAAATAGAATCTGGTCAAGAGATTTGGTTGGAAAATTGCCTGTTTTTAACCAGTTTTGCCTCATTACAACTACAAATTAATTATTTAAAGTTTTATATGGTCTGGTCAGAATAAATGAGATCAGACAACTTTGAAGACTTAAGGAGTTCAGGGTTTTTCTCAGGGATTTTTTAGGACTGTAAAACGGCCCCAAAAACTCAATCTTGAATTGAGTTTTGAACCTCAGTTTTAAACCCAAAAAATGGCTGGAATTCATTTCACAACACAAGAAAAACAACGCATTTGCCATCTTTATCCAGTTTATAGCGGTCTGCTTTAACACATTGCGTCTCAACTACAGTTATTGGGTACAGGTGTCAGCCTCCCGCAGCTACCCCACACCCCCAGCTATTCAGCCAAACTCAATCTTTTCTGCAAAAACGGACCCAAGAGAAAATCCTGGAAAAAAAACCTGGAAGTTAAGGCCTGTCTACACGATACAATTACTCCGCATACGATTCTCCTTCTGCCGCGTATGCATAAAACTTACTGCTGTGGCCATAATTCCTCTTCAATCAGATCATGGCGAAATTTCTTCACGCATGTTTACGTATTCGATTCTTGCCAGAGGGCCTATACAGTAGTTGCATTTTTCGCAACTGCTCCTGGTTACGTCTAGTAAATATATAAAATTCACACTCGAAATTTCCAGCTACAAAAACCCGTATTCTTTGCTTGCACCTGACGTCACTACGTGTCATTAGGCGCCATCTTGGTTGATATTAAAGTTTTGTCCAGCCGTTTACATCGAAATATTTGAGTTACTTTAATATTTTTGGTTTGTTTTGAAAACATCTTACTGTATTATGGATAGCTTACGATTTCTGGCACAATACGATGAAGAATATAGATTTTTAGGTGCCACGTATGTTTTGAAAATCAACCAAGATGGCGTCGATTGCAAACGAGCAATAAGACTAATGGTGTCGTGTAGACCGGCCTTCAGGGATGGCGTTTAAACTTGTAGATACTTGATGATTTAACCTTTTCTTATTTCTTTTTTTCCAGTATGCTATAGATCGTCTTAAAACCATGTGTGAAGAATCATTGTGTAACAGTTTATCTACAGATAATGTTTGTAGTATTCTCATCTTAGCTGATCTTCATAGTGCAAATAATCTCAAAGAATATGCTGTGGATTTTGTAAACAGGTAACGATTATTACTGTATGTTTCCATCAGAATATGCTCTCATTAGAATATGTTTCTCATTAGAATATGTTCTCATTAGAATATGTTCTCATTAGAATGTGTTCTCATCAGAATGTTTTCTTATCATCGTCTTACTCGTCTACTGATTAACAGTGTGAAGTGATATTATTACAGTTGTCCACTAAAACATGTGATCGAGAGGAAGCTCAACCCATTTGAATATAAATACAACTCCAACGCCTAACAACTGTGGTCTAACAAACAGTATGTCGAATCTCAGTAGAAATCCAGTCCACGTTCGCTTGTATTAACGCACCTTAAGGTGATTCATCAGTAATTGTTCTGGAAATGAGAATTTGCTGAAACTTCCCAGAGTGGGAAGTTTATGATATGCTCATAGTAAAAACAGAAAAATAGTTGGGGTCACCGAACTCGAAGATATGACAAGTGCAAATATGCCACCTTTCCCCCATATGGCCCCATCTTGACCCTTTGACGAGTTACAGGAACAATCGCTCAACCGTTATTGAATTTTTTAACAAAGATCCTACTAAAAATGTCTATCTAGTGATTATATATATACAAGAAAACATCAGATGGTATTTTAGCGAATCAAAATCATTGACGTGCATTGTCGTGGTGCAAAGATGTCTTTTCCCATCTTCTCATTTTGGGAAGCATGCGCGAAAAATGTAAAATATTATAAGTTGTAGAAATGATTTTTCTCTTTCTTTCTGATATGGCATGTAAAAACGCATAGAAGAACAAAAATATAAAATAAAAAAGTAGGGTTACGGACCTTCTTAGAGAGATACAAGGGTTAAACATGCAACATGATGTGGTTTAGTGGTGGTTGCACAGCAGCCCTAGCCAGACTTCTGTCATTTTTGAAGGTATACTGTATTTCCTGAATTAGGCAATCAATGCAGAGTGTTTTTTTTTGTCTTTGCCCTTACTCTTTCTTTATCACTTTACAATGCAGTTCGATTACATATATTAGCTAGAATTTGTTATTAGATATGCGCAGTAAATGTGCGCAATGCAAAACTGATGAATCACCTTTAACAAAGTTATTCAAACATTATTTAAACAGATCGGGTGGTGCAGGTTAGATGAGCACATTTTTTTCCTCATCGCGACTTAGACTTGCTTCAAGTCCGTCTCTAAAAGGCGCGAAAATAGGAGAGAAAGGAAGAAGAAACGGACTTGGGACATTTGCAAGCGCGCCAATTTTTGCAAGTAACATTCGAAATGCAAAAGGAAGAGACGCTTCCTACTTTTCTCCTGAGACAGACTTGAACCAAGTCTAACCGTAGCTTGATATAAATACCACCTACCCACCCTTTGTTATTAGGAAAAGTTAGAACGGACAGGTTAGGTATGTTATGTATGTTGTAGTAAAACAAACATTGTGTGATAAATAAATATCAAGCTAAATTAAAGGACTTTAAAAAAATTTGGTAACTTACTGTATCAATTCTCTTACTGGCAAGAATAATAAATCTACCAGTATTGCAGAAATATCTGTTGATAATAACAGCGTTGTTAACATTGGCCCTAGCCTAGCATGTGAAGCAAGGGGGGAGAGCCCTGCTGCGTCTGCTGTGCTCAGCAGACGCAGGGGCGGCGCTAGACCTCTTTCAATGGAGGGTGCAAGTGAATTTTCCGACTTATCAAAGCAAATTTTGCCGACTTACTACAACCACTAATTATTATTTCTTTTCCCTAAATTGTTGGCGAGGGGGCGATGGAACAACATCAAAAACATTTTCCGGACAACGTATTTGTCCATCTTATTTTGCATCCACCGTCATTCCATTTTTTTCCCCTAATTTTTTCGTAAATTTCTCCACATTTTAGCTATCATTCTTAATTTTTTAATCGGTGTCACTCAACTATTTTATTTTTTCCTTCCTATCCAACAACAACAACAAACAACAACAATCAGGGTTCGTACGGGTCCTGGAAAACCTTGAAAGTCATGGAATTTCAATATTCCAAAATCAATTTTAGTCATGGAAAGTCATGGAAAATTGAAATTTTACGTAACATTAACAAAGTATTTTACTTATTTCAATTTCATAACAATAATATGAATTGTTGTTATATAACGGATTTTTGCAAGAGCGAAGTGAATTTTGTTCTTTTATTATATCTGTTATCGTTAAAATATTAACGAATTTCAGAAATTCCAGACTTCCATGTCATGGATTTTGAAAAAAAAGGTCATGGGAAGTCATGGAAAAGTCGTGGAATTTTAAATGGGAGAAGGTGTACGGACCCTGGACAATAGTTTATTAACACTCAAAAAGATAAAAATACATTCTGTTATAGATAAAAAAATTACAAATGAGAGTGAAGGCCATATGTGATAACCATAACGGCTAATCGAGACAGGTGGCCTTTAAAGAGACACAAGAACAACTATGATTAGGAGAGTTAAGACAGTAATCAATATAGAAACACTTAATAAGCTTAATTACACAGACAACAAAAACATGAAGAAAACAAAAATAGCTCAAATATTTTGAATAATATTAAGGGGAAAAAAATGTTTTGCCGACTGGGTCTGGGATTCAATATTTTGCCGACTACCTACTGGGGGGTGTTCCCCCCAACACTCTAGCACCGACCCTGCGCAGACGACTCGCCATCATAATCCCGGATAATAAATACGAAATTCTATTTTCATCATACTAATATACGTAATATTGCCTTGGCGCTGATGAATCTTAAGCCAAACAAATCCACCGGCATTGATAAAATTCCAGCAAGAATTCTCAGACTCTCTGCGGAAATTATTGCTCCGTCATTGAACTACATTTTTAATTTATCACTTGATAATGGAATCTATATGTTGATGACTGGAAACGTGCGCGAGTAATCCCAATTTATAAATCAGAAGACGGAAGTGCGAAAAATTATTAGATCAATTTCTATTCTCCCCGACCCTATTGTAAGTAAAGTACTTGAGAGAGACGTTTTTCGACAGCTGTATGCCTATCTTTCTGATAATTCATTATTATGCAAATTTCAATCAGGGTTTCGTCCTAAACACTCGACCTTATCTGCCTTGATACGAATATGCGATGATTTGCTTAAAAACATGGATGATGGAAAGTTGAACTGTGTGGTTTTTCTTGATGTTAGGAAATCTTTCGATTCCATAAATCATAAAATATTGTTCGATAAAATGTGCAATCTTTTCGGAATAACGGGAATCCAATTGAAATGGTTCTAATCACATCTGAATAACAGAGAGAAGCAATGTTTGATAAATGGTCAATTATATCGAATCCGAAAACGTATGGAATTCCGCAAGGGTCTATCCTGGGTCCTTTATTATTCTTATTACATATAAATGACATGCCTGATTCATTAAGCCATTCAGTTCCATCTCTTCTGTGCTGATCTTGTAGACAAAGTAAACCTTGATCTTGAACGTATACGTAAAATGCATGGATGTTACATAACGAACTTCAAATCCACCCCAGTAAATGAAAAAAAAGTTTATTGGATCTTCCTATAACCTCAAAAGTATAAAATATCTAATAAGCATATTCTCATAAATAATAATCCAATACCCAGAACTTATAAATATTCATGCCTTGGCGTGAATATGGATGAAAGACTTTCATGGGAAAAACATATTGGTATTAGAGAGCTTAAGCAAGCGACGTTTTTGTCACCACGGACGTCAGATTGTCGAGGGCCGAGGGGGGACTGGATTAAAAACTGTGTTCGTGTCAGTTTGTGGTAATGTTCAACATATATGACAAAGCATAGGATTGTAAAGTTTTTTATTCCCTTACACGAGTGCTATGAGGCAAAATTCCAGCAAAGTAGTTCTACCAATTTTCGTGTGACATCCGTGTTGACAGAAACGTCGCTTGCTTAAAGAGTCATTGTCAACCACAATGCATTTGTTTACATCTTACCTTCGGAAGTGACAAATAGCAACAAATGATTATAAACATTTCTTTGGTGCAATTTTAGTATAAAAAAAAGTAAAATGAGCAAATATAACCATAGGATGGTAGTAATATATTAACGACCTTAAGCATGTATAGGACGGGAACGCGACGGCGACGGTAAACAAACTCGTTAAACCAAGTGATTGCAGAAGAAAGCTTATCGTCTATTATAAATTAGCACTGGGTTTATGACTGAGAAAAGTTCTAGGACCCAATTTAAAATAGCAGTTGTCCCAGCTTGAAATGTAAGCGTTGTATACAAGACGTGATATTCTGTATTTCGCCGTTGTAAAACAGAGCTACGCCGACGTCTATAACGTCCTTGAGATTTTAATTATTAAATTCTGCTTGTTTTCTTGCATTCATATGTTATTGGCCGTTCTCGTTTTACTTTCGTTCTGCTTTGTTGAAGTTCTTAACGGTGGTTCTTTATAATTATAAAAGTGTAAAATTTAAGGCGGTTTCTTGACACGTCCCCGTACTAAGCTTTGCTTAAGTTCGCTATTATGGATTGAAAACCGAAACATCTATTATTCCGCCATTAAAATGGCCGCCAAGCAGGTTTGGGCGCACAGTGCATTGTGGTTGACAATGACTCTTTAAACTATTGTCTGTTCAAAGGTTGGTGTGCCGGTAAGGCTATCTGTGTCGGTATTGGTGCAATATGACGAGTTAAGCCTTTTGTTCAACTACCGACACTAAAAATGCTATATAATGCTATTGTGCAGCCCTATTTTGATTACTGTAGCCCTTTATGGGATAATTGCGGAACTGGCCTCAAAGACGGGCTCCAAAATATCAAAATCGTGCTGCAAGAGTAATTACTGCATGGGGTAATATATGATGTTCGATGCGCTGACTTACTTAGAAACTTAAATTGGAAACCTTTAGAAGTTATAAATTCTAAATGGCCACACCGCACCCAATCTAAAAGAAGTTTTTCTTTTCAAAAAGGAAAGAGCAAATAGTTGCAATCTGAGAAATAAAAAAACTGATTTAGATGTTCCTATTCCGAAGAAAGAATTCAGAAAGAGGTGCTTCAGTTATAAAGGACCTTACATAGGAATAATCTTCCCCACTTGGACTTTTCACAAAATCGCGGATTCGCGGTTTAACCGATTTCCCATTTCCGGCATGTTTTAAAGCTACCTATAGCTCCTGCATACATGTGGAGTAATTTGTAACAGATTTAATTCATTGTTTTAGTCACGCAGTTGCTGTCACGAATAGTCCTGGTTGGAAAACACTTGTAAGCAATCACTCTCATCTTCTAGCTGAAGCTTTCAAAGTACTTGCAACACAACAAGGACCGTTAATGAATGGACCTCCAAGAAAGCGACTAAAAACAACTTAGAGATATGTGTGATAGAAGATATGTTTTGTAGAATATTTAATAAGCTAGCAGGATTTACTTGGTAAACCTGAAATCCATATTTAATTGTCACATCTGTTAAGTATTTCTTGTTGAGAAATATTTAGACGTTGTTAACATATCATTAACAAATGTACATAATGTGCAATATATGTGTATATATATGTAAGGTAAAGTCATTATATATAGACCTGTTTATACTAGAACTTCTGTGTGTGGTGCAACTTTCTTGGGTTCATCCATTTCATTTGAAGTTTCAAGGGACGAAATAAACAATTATACAGAATAACTTATCCAATAGATAACCCTCGTTTACACATCTTTTAATTTACTGTCGTTCCAATTGAAGTGTTGCTCAAATATTGATTCAATACATTACCTCGGGCTGACCAATTCATTTCATCAAGTTCCTCGAGATATTCATACACTTCCTGTGAAAGAGCCAATTCCAAGTATTTGATCATTTCTGGTCACTTCCTTTCTATTTATGATTGGTTAGTTGCACAAACAACAAAGGTGATTGGCGCATTCAAACTATTCAACAGGAAGTTTACAATTATACTAGGAAGTGTATGAATATCTCGAGGAACTTGATGAAATGAATTGGTCAGCCCGAGGTAATGTATTGAATCAATATTTGAGCAACACTTCAATTGGAACGACAGTAAAGGGATACGGGAATAAACAATAGTTTCCTTATTTTAAAGAGCTTTTATAGGGAAAACATTTTTACAGCTTTTCCAAATCTTGTTTAGTTCTTGAATTATTTTGACCGAATTCATCATAAATCACGCAGCAGTTCGCGCGCCACCTTGGGTTGTTGTGGATATACATATTACGTCACATGCTACAGTAGGTCACACAAAACCTTTATGAAAAATCGGTAAAGGAGTTTTATGTACTATTTAAAACATGAGCAGCAGTGTTTTATCAGATATAAAGATACGAGGCGAAGCCTAGACTTGGATCAAGTCCGTCTCTACACAGTCCGAGTCGCGAAGCGACGAGATCGAAGTCTAGGCGAAGCCGAGTATCTTTAGGTCTGATAAAACACGCACTGCGAATTTTTTAAACTGCTTCAAAAACGATCGATCTAGTAAGTTCATTGGCGAAGTAATTTTCAAAAAATACGTGTAAGTCGATAAAATCAAAGTTAAAGTTTATGTAATGGAAATCTCTCTCAACGGAAATCTCTATCACATATAAAGATATGACACGCGTATGATTTTTCTTTGTGTTTTCCTCATGAATTATTAATGTTTTTTGAAATATAATTTTAGAAGTTCTTTCAAATGAGACAAACTATTAATTTTATTTCCATATCGATTTAAATCTGCTCAACTTAATTCCTATGCAGCAGTTCTTAGTTTTTTACTTTTGAATTGAAATATTTCAGTTTGACTGCTTCATAAATGTTTAGATCTTAAGTTCTTAACCAACATCTGACTGGAGGATCTATTTCTTCATCAGATGATTTTGGGCTTGTTATATACTCAATTAGTCAATTGCGTCTCCTAATCAGTATTTCGTTTTTAAGGGAACATTAAGATTTCTTGCAAAGTCCATGCAGTGACGCTAGGGGCTGGCATCTTCACCTTTTTTGGCAAAATTGTATTATTCCAACAAATTACCTTTAGTTCGATTTCTCGTTCACAAATATGAATTAAAAATTTATTCGTGAATCCCTTTGCGTTTCACCTACGAAGGATATTTCCCTATGTTTCTCCATATATTATTATTACCCTTGCGAAGTTTAATTTCTGTGTAAAGTTACACGCGTTTCCTTAATCCCTCAGGTTCAAAGAAAGTTAAAACTCCAATCCATAATCTTCAATCCACTTCAGGCCATCTTCCGTTTTTCCTAATGATCAACAGAATCACGCCTGATTAAATATTGGTCAAGTATTTTAACACAACCAGTAATGCGAGTATCTTAAGCATTGCTAGCTGCAGCCAGGGCGCCCTGCTGCAGCATTATATAAAAGCCGCGTAAGAGAGCGCGCATGCTCGGGAGTCGAACAGATTCAATGCACGTCTCATATACACATTGTATTTCTTATATAAATTTTATAGCTAAGAGAGCAAAAGGAAGTGAATAGGTGAGTGATTTTGGAAGAGAGTTGCAGAGGATAAAGAGGTCGGTTTACAAGGAACCGCGCATAATATGGATCGATCTCTTAATAAAGGGAAAAGGAAAAAGAGCTCACGATACCTTGAGGATTGTATTCACATCCAATCCATTGATTATATCCTAAATCTTGTAATAATTGAAATATATATTGATAGTTGATTTCCCCAGAACTGCTTGGTTCACCTCGGTCAGGAACTTGGCTCACTTGAATATGACCTGAATGACCAAACGCACGAATGAAAGAATTAATCATATGAATACCATAACTATTTCGAGAGGGTAGTAATAACTAGTTAACAGTAGTTAACAAACCAGTGGTCCTGTGGATACGACATTAACCTGATGAAAATTCCAAAACAGGCCGATAGATATAAATTGACAAATGGACCTTCTGTAGTGTATATAAGAAAACATTGAACGGTCTGTGGCAGCGAAGGTAATGACCTGCCTCGTCCCCAGGCGCTAATAAAAAAATTTCATGCCAGTCACTATATGAAAAGTTTACACGAAGTAGTGCATCGCGACGAACAAAGCGCAGGGAGTTATGGCTCATATCCCATTCCCCTTTGCGCGCCTATAATGTGACGCACTACTTCATGTAAACCTTTTATTTAGTGACTCCTATGTGAAATCGTTTTATAGCGCCTGGGACGAGGCAGGGTAATGACAATAACACCAGAAAGCTCGAAACGTCGAAGTTTTACTAAATTCTTGTATTTTCAGGTACATGCGTACAAATTGAGAAAATCAACAACTTGTTCCAGGTTGATATCAACAGGCGTGAACAAGGTTGTGCGGCCCACTATGAACAGTATTGTCAACATGTTACAGCATTGTTCAACTGTAACAACTTGGAACAACATGGTTGACAACTTGTTCATAGTTGGCCGCACAACATTGTTCACGCCTGTCAATATCAACTTGGAACAACCTGTGCGTTTTTAGCCGTGTAGTTGAATCACTCCCAATCCTATAGGAAAACATTTCATGTTCGGTTTCACCTTTGTCTCTGTTGTTGAGGTTAATCATTGATGATACTAATTGCATACCTATATATTTTAAATTCTCTTTCAGTGTTTTTGTTAAATTTCCATGAGTTCTTTGAGCATGGAAGAAATCCTAAAGAGTAAAGTTAATAAATGAAATATTCGTTGAAATTAAAGTAAAGAACAACAAAACAGAAACACGTAAAACACAAAATAATAAACTTACAAATTCCATTTCGACATTGTCACAATTTAACTTTTTCAAAATCTCTATTGCTGAGGAATTGGAAAGAATTAACACAATTTATTGAAATCAAAACAGTGAAATAAACTGTGACAAACGCAATATTTTATCTTACCTTGTGTTGTATTAGTTAAGAAGTATCCTGGTATTGTTGATATTGGCTCAATCAAAATTTTTAGTCCAACCTAGAATTAGAATAATCACCAGCAATATAAAATATCCCATGCAGTCACAAAAACACCAATACACCTTACCGTGTATTGCACTCTTGGCCCAATGGTCTCGTGTTTTAAACCCTCGTGTTTCGCGCACAATAGGAATAGGCTTGTTGATTGAAATTATACATTCGTGCGCAAAACATGCGCACGTACATTCGTATGCCTGCCGTGCGCATGCATGCATGCAGGTGAATGTGGGAACGAGGCCATTGAGACAAGAGTGCAGTAAATGGTATATTGACAGCTTGTGCCGTCATGTATGATTTTGAGTGTATCGTATTTACACAAACGGATCATCGGGCCTTTGAGTATCTCAGGACTTCTGAACAAGTTGAAAATACTATATAAGTATGCTCACAAAACCATGAGCGTAACCATAATTAACTATGACTAACGAAGTTCTTTTCCTGTCCTGCGTATTTGCTGCTGATGAGCTGATGTATTACTATAGCAGGGCGCTTATACCATAGATATCTTATATACACTAGATAGTGCATCTAATTATTCTGCAATTCAAAAATTGAAGCCGTGATTGATATTCCCATGAAATGAGAAGACTCGTATGTTTTCTATCACTTAAACAGGGAACTTAAACATTAAGTTAAACCTATTCCAAATACATTTTCAAACTATTCAAATGATGAAAGTTATTGTTTTTTAAGCGTTTATTAGCGAGTGGGAAACTTCAACATGGCCGCCATCTATTCAAATGGGGGTAACCGCTGGAATATTCTTGGCTTCAATTTTACTAAAAGAGATGCGCTATCTAGTGTATGTAAGATATCTATGGCTTATACACTATATAAGCGCCCTGGTGTATGTCTACAGCGAACTCTATATTTGTTTAGTGAACACTAGCTGTTATGACGATTAAAGTGGACATTCTTCCTACGTGTAGCTACTTCTACTGCATATTTTATTCTTACTCACTTTTCTCACTTCTTCAGAGCAGTATCGTAAATTCTTTATATACGTTTCTTCATAACTTGAGTAAGGTACCTCCTGACCATCAACTGAAGTCATAACTCCGGAACAAACATGAATTCTAAAAGTTATGCAAAGAAATGAAGGTGTGAAAATCTGACTATCATAAAGATGAGATGTTTAACCAAATGTGAGGTTCCAGTGTAGGCAGTGATGTACAATATAGAAACCTTCTGCGTTTCGAGCGAAGACCTTTAGTCTTAACTTCATTTATCCAAAAACATGAATATTTCATGTTCCATTAAAGCATATACGTCTGAGCGTTTCTAGTTTTACTTAAAGTGTGTAAGGGGGGACATGTGTGAACCAGGCTAAGAGGGTGGTACAAGCAATCTTGTCGGCGATTTCATTTCTCTTCCTGACGGATGCATGCATGCAAGGTAACCACTATTTTAAACTAAAGACAAAATCCGATTCCACAAAGTGATCTTTACAAACTTAGAACAATATAAACTTACTTTCTACATTTTAATGCGAGTGCATAATTCAAAGACTTAGTAAATGATTGTCTAAATTCAGTTTCTTTACTAGGCATGGCTGCCAATCCATCACGTGGACCTGCGGAGAAAACTAATTATTAACCAATTCTTAACGTTCACTTCATTGTACTATCATGGAACAGTGCGATTAAGGGTTAAAGTCACAGTACAGGTGACAGTAACAAATTTATAATTGCCTATTTGTATTGGTTACTCATAAAAATGGGAGAGTTGTCAATGCTTTTGTGTGTAATTAAACATAAATTAATAGAAATAAATTATAGCATATAAATTTAGCATATACTCGGGAGGTGGATAGTGCTTTTTACGCAATTTGATTGGTTGCCCAGCTCCAGATATCCTTGCACAATACCTCAGGGCAAAAACAAAATGAACCGGATGGCTGTAGTAATGATTACTCAGGAATCAAGCCACTCATTGATATACGAATCAACTTCACTCATTTATCATCCAAACCATTGCATGCACCTATGGGAAATATTAATTCCATCACAGGTTTATAATTTAAATGCCTTTAAAATTTATTTAGAAAATATGGAGAAGAATTAGAGTGTTTGAAATCCTAATAGTTAATAATTATGCCTATTATTTCCAAAGGACATTAACAAATAGGTAAATCTCCAGTGGGAAAATGACGTCACCAATTAATTCCCATATTTCAAAAAAGGTTAACATCAATTGTATATCGGTTAATAAAGTCGGTTAATATCTATTATATTAAGATTAATAAAGATATCTATATCGAGAAACTGAAAACGTCATGATGGTTTATTTGGATGGTTTAGTTGCCATATCTGATCACCTACTTCATACAGCAATGGTGTCAACTATTTACAGTCATTCTTCTATCGTTCAGTATACGACTGCTGAAGTTGTCTTGGTACATGCCAGTTGAATTATAACCAATGATTGTCATCAAACATTTCCGTACTGTCATGAAGTTCAACTTGTTCCACCTTATACTGTGAAGACTATAGGAAGGCACAAGTTGGGCTTCATAAAGAGTAACTATTAACTGATCGTTATATAACATATCATTGTGGACAGCCAATCCAGTGCGTTGAGGATATCGGTTTGTGGGCCAACACTCATTCTTGACATTTCATCAACAAGGCATGCAGAATCATAACAAACCTCCAGCAATTTTCACATTATTAGACACCTTAAGATTGACGTTTATTTTATTTACGCCTAACCGCGAACCTCGGTTTGCCGTTAGCGGTTTCACGTTTGCCGTAAATATGAAATTAAGATTGACGTTTTTCTTCGCGTTCAATTTTTTTCCGTCGAAACTATAGGATCCATTTGAATTGTGCCATCCTGTCAAAAAAACAAATGTCACTACCAATCTGTTAAAATGAATTAAAATATGAAAGTATAAATGTAAGTAAGAAATATGCAAATAACTTAAACACGGACTGTGAAAAGGTCATCAATGATTTTGAACTTGCTTTATCGGGAATGTTCAAATGTAACGTTTATTAATTAAAACGATTCAAAACACGACTTAAAATAAACAAATCTCAATTTAAGAAATCTATAATACCAAAATCGGTCACAAAATATTGAACTGACAATCGAAATTTTCATGTTTGTTTAACCCAAATAAATTAGAGAGTCGATTGGGCGCTATGTTGTCTATATATCGAATTTATACATGGTTCGGTTAAAAGCACTCAGAATATGAAAAATTTCCTGTTATAAACAACTTTTATCCATCCAAATCAAAGATAAGATGTATATTTGTCTTAATATATGTCATATACGTGCAATGAAGTAATAACAGTTGAATAAAATGCTGAGGTAAAATGCACTGTAGAATGCACTCTTGAGGTTTAAAACGTGAGCGATTTACGGCAAACGTGACGGCAAGCTCCTGGTCACGTGCTTTCTAGCCGTTAACGGTTAGACGTTTGCGAAAAATACGTCAATCTTAAGGTGTCTATTGTTGTAAACATTTGATGTCACTCCAAAACGGTCCGGTAGCATGGATTGCAATGGTGACCATTCCTGTTCTTTGAGGCCAATTAATTTAGAGATCCCTAAAGAGTTCCCAACCTCCAGCATCAATATTTTCTTCTCCTTCAAACCACTGGCTATATTTCTTATTTATCTCGAGACTCGAGTTTTCTTCCTTCATGGCCTCCATATTGACAAGTAATTGACCTTAGAAGTCCTTACCGTCACTTTCAGACAATGAATATTTGACCCACATGCATCCCACATTGCATTGCGCGTACCTACTGTAATGTTTTGATGGATTGAAAATTGCGTGACGTAAGCACTCGCTATAGTCATCTTGTTTAGTGTAATCTGATTTGTCCATGACAACATGTTGTCGTGGACAAATCAGATTATACTAATAAGGTGGTTATTCACATTCGTCTTCACACTTGCTACATCCGTCGAAATATTCCTTCCGATATTCGCTACCCTTGTCTCCATATTCGCAATACTCGTCGCCACATACTCTCCATATTCGCCACATTAGTTTCCATGGCTTTTATATTTGGTTCTATTTTTCTCATTTTCTTTTCAATTTATAATCTGCCAACGTTTTTTGTCACTTCTCCGCACGAGTGGCACATCAACTTTTGAAACTCACACATACTTCATAATGGTGGATAAGGCCACGCCTACTTACTGCCAGAACCTTGGTTACAAACAACTGGTATAACTCTCTCTTACATTGATCTTGACAACCTCTATAATCTATATACATTCTAACATTGACCGTTTTCGATCATACATTTTAACTATTTTCACTGTACAGTGTATACATTCTAATATTGACAGTTATAGTATAGATACATTCCAACATTGACAGTTACACATTCTAATAATGGTTATAAAAATATTCGTTTTTCTTGCAGATTTACATATGGACAATCGTTTTCTTGCTGCTACAAAGCGCGGATTAAAATGACTATCATGTATACATAGCACCTTACATAACAAGGCTTGAAATAACGTTTCCAAAGTTCCAGATCATGGTGATCGGCAGTCATGACTTTCCCTGCTTTTTTCAGGTTGGAAACACTGCTTTTCCGCCGATCATAAGCAATTTCTTGCCGATCATTGATCGGTGATCGGCTGTTATTTCAAGTTCTGCATAACGGGTCTGCGGCTTAAGTTGTAAAGAATTTTACCTCCATACCCCACAATTACAACTTGTTCTACATTAGCTTCAGATTTGGCTTTTATTATTTCTTCCACTGAATATTGGAAAATTTCTTCTCCAGATTCAACAGCTTTAAAACCTGAAAAGAGAAACTAATTATTGCGTGGTCTCTCGCAAGCCCATACAGCACGGCAGGGTCTTTTCAAGATGCATGCAGTGATAACCAATTTTGCAGTCATATAAAAGGGATTTGTGCAGTAGTGATTAGCGCAATTTTGTGCAGTGATAAATTTTACTTTAAAATAGATGTTAGTTGTGAAAGGATGGCACCACAACATTCTAAACCACAATCCCAGAGTTTATTTTATAAACGTGCAGTTCTACCCAAAATGTGCAATTGTAAACCTGGCCTATTTGGCATTTGTGCAGTTCTTATTAAAACACAAATGTGCAGTTATACCAAGTTAATGACAAAACATTAATATTTTCTAATTTGCTCGTTTTCATTAGATAGAAAACTTTATTTATCCACGCTAACCCTGTCAACCGAGGCTGACTTCCACAGGGGGCGTGTAAAAAGGAATTACAAAAATATAGTATTTAAAGCTATTTACAATCTATAAAGTTTTTTTTTAGGTTTTCAGTTTCTTAGGATCTTGTTTTAGTTAAAGAATGTAAGTAGCAATTTTATTTTGAAAACATGACGGGGATTTGCTTTCCCTAATTTCATTTGGAATAGAGTTCCATAAGTGAGCACCGTTATACATAAAACTAGTTTTCATGTTATTTGTTCGAGGTTGTGGTAAACAAAGACCACTTGAACTGTCCCGAAGTTTGTAATTTGTCATCCCACTTTTATAGGTGAAAAGGTTTGTGAGTGACTCAGGACCCATTTTATTCAAAATTTTGTACATTAGTTTTGCTTTTGCAAAAAGTCCCAGCCCAAAGCCTGTAAAGCAATAGTGTGATCTATATCGTTGCTCATACTCATGATAATTCGAGCAGCTCTATTTTGAAGTTTCTGAAGTCGTTTTGACTGTGTTTCACCAAACACATCCCACACTTCACAACAATAATCGAAATGTGGACGAACAATAGCATTATATATCGAGATAAGTGTATCTTTATTAACAAAAGTTTTAACACGACGGAGAGCAGAGATTCCAGATGTTATTGTCTTGCAAATATTTTCAGTATTACTTTTCCAAGATAAACGCTAGTCAACTATTATTCCAAGAGTTTTGCATTCATAAACTTGTTTAATTTGTTTGTTTTCAATAATAATTGGGTGAAAATTTTTTATCATTCGTTTTGAGCCAATCAACATGAATTCAGTTTTAGCTACATTCAAGCTAAGTTTATTGGCCATCAACCAGTTTCTAAGATTTTCTAGATCAGAATTTACTGCAATCTCAACATCAGTCATTGAGTCTCCAGAAGCTGTGAGATTTCTATCATCAGCAAATAGGCGAGGTCTTGTATTATCAAGGCACTCAGGTAAGTCATTGATGTATAATAAAAACAATAATGGTCCTAAAATAGAACCTTGTGGTACACCACATGTAATTAAGTGCTCTGATGAAACAAATCCATTTATTTTGCACTTCTGGCTACGATTTGTGAGATAGGATTTTAGGAAAGAAAGAGCTTGTCCTTTTATTCCGTAAAACTCCAACTTTTCTAGTAGAATATTGTGATCAACAGTGTCAAATGCTTTTTTTAAATCAATAAAAACTATTAAGTTAAATAGTTTTCTATCTAAATTTACATACCACTCGTTTGTACAGTCTAGTAGTGCTGTGGCTGTAGAGTGAGATTTCTGGAAATTATTGTGAATATGCCAGAAAATGCCAGAAACACAGCCATTTCAGAGCAGTGCATCATTTTATATACTTTATAAGCTGTTTTCTGGAAATCATTTCTGGAAATTATTGTGAATATGCCAGAAAATGCCAGAAACACAGCCATTTCAGAGCAGTGCATCATTTTATATACTTTATAAGCTGTTTTCTGGAAATCGTTTCCGGAAATTCATTGTGAATGTGCCAGAAAATGCCAGAAACACAGCCATTGAGCAGTGCATCGTTTTATATACTTAATAAGCTGTTTTCTGGTCCAACCCAACCCAGCCAAACCAGATAGGTGATATGTATACATTAAGAGTCTATCACAACTTAGTGTTAAAATCTAATCCAGGTAAAAAATCCTTTGACCCCACACCCCCTCAGTCAAACACCTGATGATTTGTAACATTCCTCTATGTGCAGTTTTATAGTTTTCTTAAAATAAACCCTGCAACGTGGTAAACAGAACAATGGCTGGCAAACATCTAGCGTGCAAGTATTAAAAGTATAAACATGGCTAAATGAGATTGGCCAGAAAAACAGATTACAACACAGAGAATGGGATAAAGCATTGAAATAAATAAATTTATGCTATCAAGCACCATAAAGCATTGAACAGGGACCGGTTAAAAGCTGCATGATTAGTGCTAAAGAGCCTGCTAACCTTAGGTTAGATGGCCCACCCAATATTTAAAATATTCAGCCACAGAAGTAGTCATGCAGTTTCAACAGTTTGTAAGGCCTGAGTGTTTGAATGAGTGAAATCAAACAGTCAACAGTTAATTGTGAAATGAGCATGTATGTGTATATGGGCAAAAGAGTTGCCGTCCTTAATAATAAGACTTATATGTCACTACGCCACTGCCAGACCTCCGCCAACTCTCCCAACATAGCTGCTTGTATTAGCCGTAGCCGGGAGTCTAAGGCCCAGTATAAACCTGTGATCTCCCGGTAGTGAAAAATTTCTCACGGTATTGGCAACTGGCAATTATCCTGATTTCTTGTCAATCTTAAAAAATTTTATCAAAAAACATCAATGCGCAGCAAATAATTAAAGTATTTATTTGTTAAAACACGTCTTTATGTTGTATTTTCAGTCCAAGATAGTGCCCAATTTAACATTAATCAAGGGGCTTCTTGTGCTGTGAGTGAAGCTATATGAGTTTGAAAGATTGCTCTAATGAAAAGGCTTTCAATTGATGGGTTTTCTCCCTCTAAACAGCCAATTCTCCCACTAAATTAAAGGTGATGTAAAGTCTGTGATGTAAACAAACGCTTTGTTTATATTTTGAAGTGCTACAGTTGTAAAATATGATTAGATATATTATACTGAATTTTTAACACTCTTCTCGTTCGCTATGCTTGTATTATGAATACAGACTTGAGATTCAATTCAAGAAAGTTCGGAAGGTGCGAAATATTGACAACATTCCAATGGGCAGGTCTCGACCATTGGAATATGTAGACCTGCGCAGAACGTATGTGCAGAATGTATGCGCATCACAGACTAATTACATCACCTTTAAGTATAAGATTCTCCCTATATATATATATCAGTCGCTAAGGTCGGCAAGTCTGCACTGCAAGTTTGAATTCACAACACAAGATTGAGCATTGCACGTAAACACCTTTGAGTTATTGAATTTTAAACTATTTTAGTCATTTTTGTGCCTATCACCACTAATTATTGGGCCTCCTATGATAAGATTAGATACATGCTACATAAATGCACAATTGCCCCCCCCCCTCCCCCAACCATTAGATAGTATATATTATGGTGTTTGTGATGTTATATGATGTTTGTGATGGATACTTATATCCACACCGGTCAAGCTTGAAAAATATGCTTGGCCACGGTGGGAATCAAACCTACGACCTTTGGAATACTAGTCCACTGCTCTTCCAACTGAGCTACATGGCCAGGTCGGTTCGATTATGGTGTTTTATACTTGTTCCCATGCAAGCATCAAATTAATGGCTATGGGGAGGAGGGGCTCTATTATAATCAAAGTGACTATATGACCGGCAGCCGGTCACGGTTTATATGGCCGGCAGTACAGCGACTACAGTTAAATATAAAAACTTTTGTTTGCGGTAACTTTTACCGAGCTTGCCGTTAGCTCATACTGCAAGGGCGCTGCATGTGGAAAGTGAAACGCAGTCGGGGGTCGGGATGTGTTTTGTCTGACTTAATTAGCATTGTTTTTTCTTAAAATTTTTTAAACTTTTTTTTCCGGCTTTTTTAACTCTTGAAAGGTTAGGTTAGGGTTAGAGAAAGGTTTGGGGTTAGGGATCGGTTTATCTTGTAAAAATTCAACTAAAACTATAGTCACTATATACTAAGCCGGCAGTTTACTAGATAGCCGGCTGCCGGTCATGTAGTCACTTCGTATTATAATTCTATGTCAATTTTTTTTTCTAGCTGCCTGAGCCTCACTATACTTTTGCAGATTGCATAATCATGCATAACCTGGCAAGTTCTTTCAGCAACTGTAGTGTTGAAATTTTAGTAATTTCCAAGGATAATTAACATCTTTAATTTCTACTTTTCTAGTTAAATATTTTCTTTTATCCACAAATCACGTCACCCAGGTTGTGTCTATAACTAGTAAATATATAAAATAACCTGCTTCCGATGCCGCTTTGTATCTGTCGATAAAATTTAGCCATTCTTTGAACATAAAACTGATATTTGCATCAACTTTTATCCCCGGCATTTTGTAAATATTTAGTTCGTGGAATTGTGCGTGGTTGGTGCGTGTAGTCGCGCAGGCCATGACAACAGAAGACAACAGACATGACATGTCGAATGAGAAATCTAATTGTTTTTCCGAAAAGAAATTCCTTTGAAACCAGTCAATAAAGGGCACATATTCAGAATCATGGCTTTGCTAAACCGTCGTCTAAAAGACCGTGATATAGAAAGATTTCCCTTGGTGGGAGAAAATGATGGAAATTTGAGTGAATACGGTGACGAAACTGACCTTGACACCGAGGCGAACGAACAATTTCAACATCATGGGATTTCACTATGGCTTTCAGATTCAGTACTTATGCTCATTGAACACATTCAGATTTTCGCAGTGTTCTTGGTCTTGTCAGAGAAATGGAGCTGGCCTTTAGATTGGATAAGAGAAACATCTTTTGTGCTTTTGATCAATCTTGATATTTGGGAATTTTGGAAGATCAATAAAGATATCTATGATGGAGCAAGTGAGGCTCATGTCCCATCTAGCAACATGTTTAGTTACAAAACATACCTGGTTATTTGGACTGTTTTTACTTTCGTTTTCTGCACAGGTTTTGTTGCAATGTATCGATATTTAATTTATAAAAGACCACTTTATTTATTGTTATATCTGACAAGAATGAAACGTGTGTTGTCTGTTGTTGCTCAAGTTGTCTGCATTCCAATTGGGCTAGTGGTTGTCAGGTTGCTCCAATGTCGTCCTGAGGTAACAGCCTCACGAGCACCAAGTTTGGAACAAATGGAAAAGGTTTTGAATGTTGAAAATAATATAAAGTGTTGGAGTGGATCGCATCTTATTTATGGACTTGAAACATTAGGATGGTTTTTGTTGCTGATTGCAGCATTACTGTTCCTTGTTTATCCTGTATATCTGTGGCGGGTTACAAAAGGTGAAGTGTTCACCCACTCAAGCACACAACATGAAGGATACTTGCAGCTGAAAGAAGCAGAATATCTGAAAGGGCTGGATATAGTCTGGGCTGTTGAGCAATTTTTCTTGTTCTCTTCATATCGTCGACCCTGGGTTTATTACCAGTCTGTGATGTACTTCCTACGATTCTCAGTCATATTTGCCTATGGTATATCACTAGATTACCAAGTATACCCAATGGCTATAGTAACTATCACAATGTTTCTATTGGCTTTGCTGATGATGGTGGTTAAGCCATTTCGTGTGAATGCATTTAATGTCATGAAGATTGTTTCATTGTTGTGTAACTCATTAAATGCATTAATTGGACTTCTGTTGGAGTTGGAAGTTGAAAGTGCCATTCTGATATATCCAAACATTAAATATGCACTGCTTGGTATCAACAGCTTTGCTATACTTGCTTTTGTTGTCTTTTTCTCTTTCCTTGTTTTGCGTCACTATGGTGTCATCAGAAAGAAGCGGCCACTCTGGCCAGCTTTATCAAAAGATGAAAAATCACAAGAGTTAGACTCTGACACAAAGCGATACCTGAGAGCAGTTTTACAAGGCAGACAAGTACTCGAGAGAGCACTCTCCACTCCACCAATATTTGCACCAGTTCACGAACTTGAAAGGCAGATTCAGATTATCAATGCATATTGCCGTGAAGCTGAAGTCACTGGGAACCAAACATTTGACACTCTTTGGGATCTTCTTGATGAGCTTATTGAAGCACACAATGTCTTCAATTCTCAGTCGTTATTTTCCCAATCAAACAAGACAACTGTTCAGGACACAGCAAATGAACTGATGAAAATCATGCCAGCATTCCGCAAGAGAATGGATAAACGGGAATATGATTTTATCCTTATGAATCCTGTAAAAAGAAGAATGCTTTTGAAATTGTATGCACTAGGATTATTCCTTAATGGACGGAGTACTAAAGCACAAGAGAATGTCACAAAGAAATTAAGATTTGATAAAATGGCCAAAAGATCTGTAGCATATGACTGGAAGGGAAGTAGTATAGGGTCACCACTGTATTCAAACAGTGACAGTGCATCAGTGCCAAACACTGCTGGGACACTTGATAAGTTGACTGATAGTGTTGATGATTTACTTAAACATGTTGATTCTGTAACAAACAACAACAACGATGGTCCACAGATACTAGTTGTGCAACATGAAAAGAATGTTTCAAACAGCTCAGGTGAGTAAATGGTAAATTTAAGTCAGTTGTATCTAAGAAAAGACAAAATGTTTACTCTACACTATATGTCTACATTAGAGCTGTGCGGTTAACTTAAAAATTTGGTTCTTCCGGTACTTTTTTCAGAACCGAAAAATGATATGCAAAAGTTGGGGATAGTTATTGTTGTGAACTTGCTTTAATTTTTTTTTAAAACTAAGAAATATATTTTCATCTTCATATAAATAAATTCCAATTGTTCTTTTATTTAATTAATATATTCAGAGATTTATAAAATCTTACAAAGGCATAAATTCATCTATTTAGTAAAAATGCTCGAAACATACATAAATGAGTTCATGCATTTGTACTGTTCTTCTTTTTTGAAAATAACCGAAACCAAACAGAGGTTTTTTTGTTCCAAAAAAAACGGTCCAACTGAGTTAAAATTTTTGGAACCACATAGCTCTAGTCTACATGCTGAAATTTATCAGTTAGATTTACCTTGTTTTGTGGACCCTCTGCTTCGTGTCAGAAAACATTGGCCATCTCAGAGTAGGGCGCGAAATAACGGCTGGAGGCTCGCCGGTCAAGGTGACGGGCCAACTCAATTTTAGCTCGGACATACCGAATTTTTGGCCAGTCAAATTATTCAGCTTAAAGCAAAGCCTTGTAAAGTATACCCCTAGAAATGTAACTATTTTTCCCAGTATAGCATTACAGAAAGCCTTACTGTAATCAGTAATTAAAAACTCCTTCACATAAAACAGCTTGCACTGCACTAAAAGCATGCATGGGCTTAACTCTAAAAGCCAAAAGCATGGCCATGGGCTTTGAGACGTACTGCGTGGGAAAGCGCCAGTTGCTGGCGTACATTGAAGTTCTTTTCCCGAAAAATATTCGACAACATGTTATGGTTCTTAATTATAATACTTGACAATTTTATTTTGATTATTAATTCAAATGAAGATTAGTTGGTTCTTTTACCAAAAGTGACTGGTCAAAATGACCGGCAAGGTAAGAATTTGACCAGACAACTCTGCATTCTAGCCGGACACTGTCCATTGACCGGCCGTTATTTCGTGCCCTGCGGATGCACAAAATATACTGTTTCCTTTGATCCCATTGAATAAGTGTTTAATAGACTGTACTGTTTATTGCACTCTTGCCCCAATGTCCTTGTTTTCATGTGGTTATTTCCTCATGTTTCATGCACAATAGGGTTAAGGGTAGGTTTGTGATTGGGCTCAAGATCAAAGAGAAACATATTCATGCATGAAAGTGAGGATATAACCTTCATGTGTGTGTCATGCTAAAACAGACAAAAATAGAAACAAGGCTATTGGGGCAAAAGTGCAATAAACAGTAAATTCTATTGTTTCCTCAACATTCAATAATGTTGGGTAATTCACCCCAAGGACTTTCAAGGCAAGCATTGCATTTGTTTATTCTTCTTGTACAGATGGTTCAAGTATTTCACTTCCTGGTGCTGTTGCATATGAAGAGAATAATGACATCACACAAATTGTATAGATTGTTGTAAATTACTGAAACATGGGTTGCAATTTTATATTAATGTAAATATTGGTTATGTATAATCATGATGACCTTAGGTCATTTAATCACAACTTAGGTGATTTAATCACAACTGTTGTAATTCTACATGATGTAATACTGTTACTAGAAAGGTTCAGATTTGATTTCTACCACTGGCGTACTGAGACCTTCCCGAGCAGGGGGGGGGTTCCACCACAGCCTCTTTCCTTTACCTACCAACTCAATTTTACATATCAATTAATTTACTGACCATTTCCAATCAATTTATCAACAAGTCACGTTTTTTCCCTAGATAATTTTATTGACAGTTTTGTTGACGAGTTTTGTAAAATGTGGGTGTTGCATCCCCCACTCAATATGTCCCTGACCTTCGCTACCTCTCCCTTACGCATATGATTGGTTAATCAGGTAGATTAAACACTTAGACACATCTGATTGGTTAATGGTAGTGGAAACCAAAATCTGAACATCTCTATTGTGTTGCATATACAGACAACGACACTACATACAGTAAGTTGTCTAATGTAGATTGTTGTAAATAATGTGTTGTAGTTTCGTGAGCTGCACATTAATTAAGTTAATGCCATTCCAGAAGTTGTAAATAGATTGTTGTAAATAGACCTTGCTTTCATATTATTATTTCCTCATGTATTATGCACAGTAGGTTAAGAATAGGTTTGTGATAGGGCTCAAAACATCAGGAAAAAAGGGGTGAAGAAACATTAGATATCCGAAGAGGGTAGGGGAAATTTTCCTTACAAGAACTTTTTCTAAGTTCGGAGCTTAGTCGAAATTTTTTTCTTTATTTTTCTGTATATTTCATGTAGTTGCTGGTTTTTTCTTTCCCAAAACGCTTGCATGAATTTGGATCTGCCAAACCCGCCCAGAATATCTAATGGTCCACCCTTGGCAAACACGGAAAACATTAAAAAGAAGTTGGTCAAAATGTTTTGTTGTTGGTCAAGGGAAATATTAAGAGTAAATACGCTATTAAACCTGATTTGAAGAAATACACCGTCTTTCATCAATATTGAAATTTGGTCAAATTTGTTTTTGGTCAAAATATATTGAGGAAACAATACGATTAAATTTTAACTGTAAAGTACATTGCACATTACCAATTATTATTTGTTTTGGGACCAAATTTTGTCAGTAACTCTGATAGATTTAAAGTTTGTTCGTTCACTGCAACCAGGGTCCAGGTATATCAATCATGTTTTTTACAATCAACACAGATCTTGCAATTCTAGCGTTTATCGCAGAGACAGGGGCGCACATTAGAGGGCTGTGGGGGTGTTACACCCCCATAATTTTGAGAAATGTCCAAAATGTCGGTCCCAAACGGACAATTTTACCGATCGTCAGGTATAAACATTAAGCAAACTGGTTGTTTCCATTCCGTGTCCAAATAAATTATTAAATTTTGAAAGGTTATAATAAAAATGCTTATTGGCAACACTCGGCATCGTTTCCATGCTCCATATATACCGAGTTGGTGTACCATTTTAGTTTGAAAAAGGCCGAACGAAAGAGGTAAATGAGACTCTGAAAATAGCATTTCCGACGATCTAGAGACTTCAATTTTGCAAAACATTTTTCGACCTTTGCACCTTTTATACAATCACCTCTCAAGTTATCACATATAAACGTAATCGTGAACAGAAATATAATCAAATATTGATCGCAAATGGCTCGGCACACTAAAGAAACGCCATCGAAGGTCAATATACGATTCTCCCTAGATAAACGCGTCGCTTCCAAATGTAAACACGTAAAAAGTCCGTCCCGAAATAATTTACACCCCGCCCAAAAAATATTTTGGGATGTGCGCCCCTGCGCAGAGATACTCGAAACCCAGAGCTCGAAACCGTAAAGGCCCTGTCACACTATTGCGTATGAGAGAAACGTGTGAGAAGCGTATGAAAATTAATGAAATAATTTTCATACGCACAAAAATCCTTTGAAATGCCAGCGTATGAGTACCGTACATCTGGCGTACCTCTAGCGTATTCAGAGTGTGCCTAGAGTATGCTTATCGTATAAAGCATACGTCCGATACGCACAAAAGTTTTGAGCATGCTTAAAAAAAAATTTTCTGCCTCGCCGTATGGCAGCGTATACCACCGTACGCGACCGTGCTTGAAACGTATACAACCTATGCCTAACGTACCCCTAGCGTATGTCAGCGTATACCGGCGTATGAGTGATATTTTTCATACGCTGGCATACGCTAGTACGATACGCAATAGTGTGATAGGGCCTTAACTCTTAATATAAAGACTGAAAATGCTGCACATTTAAGAAGTAGCCACGATTATTTCCCTATACTGAATACTGATAGAAGTATAATTCAAATAAATGTGCAAATTACACGGCTATGCAGATTTGCATGAACTCTCTCGTATTACCCCCAATAAAAAGAAACTGCAGTGCGTAGAAAAGAGAAAGTTGGTCATTTTCATTGAAAAAGTTGGTCATTATTGCATGACGCCCCCCCCCCCCAATCCTGAAACGAGGCCATTGGGGCAAATGTCTTACTGACAATTATGCATGTTGTAAATAAATTTTGTATTTCGCTATCTCTGTTATAACACTGTTACATATACGCAGACAATGACGACATGATGATATCACACAAGTTGTCTAGTGTTGTACAACTCTGAGGAAGGGTCTTCGCTCGAAACATCAAACATACATCGCTTTCAACAGTGTACGTGACAGAGGCTGAACGCCAAAGTCTTGGGACAGTGACGTTTATTGTAATCGAGGGGTGGAAGAGGAATATTTTTACTTCAACAATCAATATCCCTACCTTCAAAATTCCTAATATACCAAGTTTGTTTCAAATACTTACATATCTACAATGAATGTTAATTCACCATTGTCCAAGATTCTCACACATCACTCAAGGGCCTCTTAAGAATTTGTCAGTGGAGGGGCCATCAAAAACAGGGGCTGGGGGGACAAGTCCCCCCCCCAGTCTATGGTATTAAAAGAGGCCCAGCATCACTCCAGTATTGATTGCACTTCACTGGCTACCAGTAAAATATCGGGTGAAATTTTACATTTCTGAAATTGCTCATCCCAAAACCATCAAGCGATCGCTGGACAAGAACGGATCGGGTGGTCAAGGACTGCTACACATCCCGAAAACTAACTACGATCTTAGGTGATCGGCCATTTGCACATGCGGCCCCACGATTGTGGAATTCCTTGCCTCTGAATGTGAGGAACTGTGATAACATTTCAGCCTTCAAGAAACGTTTGAAAACATTCCTTTTTAGCAAGACTTTTAACCTTTTATAGTCTAAGATCACGTAGGATTTTATCATTCTTATCGTATAGTCGTATATAATTATACTCGCTATTCTGTATTTATTATGTAATATACTTAATTCTGGTTCCGCCTTTCACTAGATGTAGTCTAGATTTTTACAATGTACAGCGCTTTGAGTATTTAACTTAATATGCGCTCTATTCACTCTATTTAAATGGACAAATTATTATTATTCCTGACTTAAATATTCCTATATTCCTACTATAAATATTCATATTCAATCTGCTTCAAACACAATATTCAATATTCCGCTTCCAACCCCCGAATAACAGCGAAGTGTAGTATAGGTAGTGATTATAAACAAGGTGAACAAGATGGGTTATAAAATGCATAAACTAGTAAGGCATAGTGCCAGGGATTTTGAGCAAACGATGTGTGGTCAGGCCGTTTTATTTGTGCGTTATTTACACGGTTTACCTGCAAACTCAAAGAATGATTAGTTGGTTAAAGGCCATGTTACGCGAGGAATGTTTTACTGCAACTTGCAAACGTATGTTAAATTGGTGTTGCAATGCCAATGTATTATTTGCCGCCAACTCCTGAATTCCTTCGACCAATACAATCTGGTAAAACAAATTGCATTCGTCTAACATCTTACTGTAACTAAATTTTTTGAGAAAAGAAAATTGCGTTACAAGTTGCGGGGAAAGTTGCGTATTGTAAAACGGTCTTTACTCCCAAACAGAGCCGCCGAGAGGTTGCGCGGGCCCCGGGGCAAAACCAGTTTCTCAGGGGCCGATATGACGTCATAGAAACGGTGGTTTACAATACATTCACAGAGTAGATACATACAGAGGTGTAACTGGCCGTCGTAAACACTTCGGAAAGTTTTCATGTACCCACTTTTTTTTAGGCGACTGGGCAAAACACATTATCAACTGCGCGAGCACTAGTAACTTGCCGAGCATGCGCATAAAAAAGTGGGTACACTAGTTATAACCAATGGTTATAACTCTGTATATGTATCTACTCTGTGATACATTGCACTTTATGAAGGTGTTGATGGGGTATATCGTGAGTCGTGATTGCTCAATTTCGGTTACCGTCAGTCGTGAAAATACTAAAATTTTACCGTGAAGCGTGAGGAAAAAAATACTGTTTATCGTTTCAGAACACTTTTCAGCAGATTCAAAGATTTACCGTTAAAATACCAATGGGATCTCCCCATCTAGACCCTCCTTTATTACTGCATATTCTCCGGCACGGACACAGCTAGGATTTATACTCTCTCGGGTAAGCAATCTTGTATCAAGAAAATTTAAAGGACTTCGTCGGAACGGCGTCGCTTTAGGTGGCCCGATTGAGCTGGAGGGCCGGGGTAGCTTTTCGCTGCCCGTAAAAACACCGTCTGCCATGCAGGCTAGGCCCGAGGCAAAGTGCTCTCCCCTGCCGGGCTGGAGGGCCTGGGGAGGAGGGCCAGGGGCAAAGTACCCCCCTCTCATTTTGTGACAAAGTCCAACAAAGTTGTGACGTTATTTTCGTACTCTCGAAAAGCATGCAAAGGGAAGCAAAGGGAGCGTTCATTAATTATGTCGGAGGGAGGCTTTAATATTTTTTAACACAGATGAGGGGGAGGTTTCCGAAAAGTCAAAAGTTGCAGGTCATATAATTTATACAAATATAATGCATGTTTAATTCACCAGCTCCTTCCCCTACTGAATAACATTATCTGGTGCTTCTTCCAAAATATTTTGTTAATAAATATTTTAGAGAAAAAAGTTTAGGGTTGCTTTTTATAATGATTTCTAAATATAAGGTTACATTTTAATAATTAATTAAAATTAATTATTCTAAGCATTTCAGCTGAGCAAGAGCAAGTGAACTTAAGTAGACTTACTTTCATAAACGTTGCACACCACGTGAGGTTTGGATGCCGGGGGGGGGGGCATAAAATTTATACAAGCCTTATGGACGAGGCTGTTGAGATTTTTGTCACTCGAGAAGGGAGATATAGTATTTCAAAAAATATCTGAGTGTTACTAGCCCCAGCCCCCGCCTCTGACATAAATAATGAACGCTCCCTAACAACATTCTGTGTCTTAAGGCCATGTTACACGGTGCAATTTTTCTTGCAACTTGCAATGCAATTCTACTCTTGAGAGATGTAAAATTGCCAAATACGAGTCTTCATTACACTCCGCTGATGTTTTCTCAACATATCGAAAATTCTTCACTGATTTCACTAATTAACATCTCTCAAGAGTAGAATTGCATTGCAAGTTGCAAGAAAAATTGCACCGTGTAACACATGGCCTTTAGACGTCAAGTTCGACCCGACATTTTAGCCTTCACTTTATAGGGCACTTTAATTAACAGATCCAAAATGTCGAGTTAAGTAATGTAAAAGATGGAAATATTAGTTTATATTCGCCGAAATATGTTGACCAAATGATATTGCAACCTCCGTCGCAGGGACTTTCCATCGGCTGGGACCCTGGGTACGAGGATGATGATATTGCACAACTATTATCGTGGCCTTGGTTTTTCTTGTTGGTTTTTGAACAAATTTTGTCTGAAATATAACCCTTTACGTGGCCCATTGAAGAAATTAATAATTTCAGTCAAACTAAATATTATAATCAATAGACCATTTATAAACGAATGAATAATGATTGGCATGCAATTATACCATGCCTGTTTTATTTCAAGACATCTGAATCTGAGTTGCTGACATTCACGAAATTTAATCTAATCGAAAACTACTCAGACAAGAGCAAACCAAGGATGATGTAGAGCTTAATAAGGAAATGCTATCTGTACTTGTCTCAAATATCAAATATGAGCTTTAGAGGAAAATATTTTATTCATTTCGCTAATTTGTGTCATCGAAATTTTGTTGATGGCTTAAGTTACTCTTAGTTAACTCAGCAACTGCTGTTCATTAACTAAACTTGTGTGATTCGCGTTAATTATAAAACACCACACCCTGCCCAAAATAATTTACATTTTTTTGTAATCAATATCATTAATACATGGTTCAACATTGTGTTTTTAATATTAATACGAACGCAACAACAACTACAGCCTTCATAATTTTACAACTAGTGAACACATCATTATGATACGGTATAGAAAGCGCACGACTGCGCGAAATATTTTAATAAGCTCTTTGTTTAATTTAAAAAGCGCATTCAAGTTGACGCACGCGATAAATGCGCTATTATCCAGTTTGAGGGTTAACTCTTATGCGCATTCAAGTCTGCTTAACATTTAACAAAACAAGGAGGAATGAAAGTTTGAAGAAGTCATTAACATCATCAATAGTTTGTACATGTCATTCATAAAGTGTTTATTAAAATAATACAATGTACATATATTTATTAACAAGTACATAGTCACGCAATGTGCCGTGAGTCTGCATGAAAGCGCGTTGTCGACGTTGTCTTTATGCTTTAATTATCGTGGTAATCTAATTTCTAAACAATCCCAGGATGTGAACAAGCGTTGCAAAACATTATCAGTTTTGGCACAGTTGATATGAGCAACTTGTTTAGATTTTAGCATGGCAATTGTCTTGTTATGATTATCTTTATTAGATCGACAGCTTGTTTTATTACTGTCGAATTTGTCTTCTATATACGCCATCATATTGAGAACATTGTGTGTATTCAATACCATATTGTGCGCTGTATGGAAACTGTTTATCCCATCTGCTGTTTAAATATTCACTGTCCATTGTATCCATATCATGCAAGAGTTTGTCTAAGAATTGAATATATCTCATTGCAAGTCTTAAAATTTCATTTTTCGACAGCTTCTTATCGTACGGGTATGTAGGCAAGAGTTTTCTCAGTTCGCCAAAAGCATGATTGACGTTCTTCTGCCTCCATCTTTCTCGAGTATTTGTGAACATTCTTTTAACAACTTTGCTTTGTCGATGTTCACCATGATATCCCATGCTGATATGTTGGACTTTCTTGATCTCTCTTAACGGATAATAATCCGATATAATATCTTGCGAACATGGAGATGAATAGGAAAATGATTTCCATGAAGAGGACTGTTTGTAGTTTGTACCAGATGTACGATATAATTTTCCCTTGATACTGCTTGCGCTTACCATATTGTGATATTTCCTCTTGGGCGCAATCAAAACAGACATAAACTGTGTGACTTTATCACAAGCGTCGTAGATATAGCTGACAAATGAATTACTTAACGAATTTTTCGTTATTGGATCTGCATTCTATCGTGAAGATCTAATAAAGCTTGAAGAATTGTTCACAAGCTTTTAAAGTCCCGGCTGGCGCCGTTTGCGTCAGTAAATGCCAGAAAATACGCGCTATTAGATCGAAAATCAAGATAATGTCGAATGATAACTTGGATTGTTTACCTTGCGCGCCTCTCAACCAATCAATACACAGCATTTGTGATTATCATAAATTGATGTCAGCTTGTTTTAAAAGTGCAATTACTCAGTTAATTGCTTTCCTTCAAACTCTCTTTATACTAGCTTACCTGGGAGGTCTAAATACAAACAATCTTATCTTTTTTATAGTTTCATGTTAGATTTAATAATTTGACAACTTTACAAGGGATATACTGCCCTATTTGCACGCGCAACATTGTTTTATGATGGAAATTTTCTAAAGTGGCCAACCGCTAAGCTCGACAAGTTTTTAATTACCGGTCACATGTAAAATGTATCAAGGTTCAATATTCTTAATGCAAAACATTTAGCACGTTTACAGAATTACGAAGATCAAATTAAATTAAAACAACGACCTGTTTATACTGCAGAACGGCGTTGAGTTTATGAAAAACAGATTAGAGAAATATCAAGAATAAACCCTACATCTACCATACAGCGTGATCTATTACCATCATATATAGGCCTCGATACAGTAAGGTGACCAAACAGGCTGAAGTATTAAATATCCACATTTTCAATGCAATGAGAGTCTTTAACAAGATAAAGTCTTTTCGGGATAGCACTATTAAAGAATGTTATGACTGCAAAATAATATTAAAATAAACAAGCCCGTCTGCCATTGCCAATCAAATACCAAATGGTGTCTAGCATGCATGGTACCGACAAGTCCAGAGCTTGAGACATGTAAAGAAAATAATTTCAAGCTAAATTATCAATACAACTTCATTGCATTCCACACTGGGTGATAAAACTAAGACAATATTCATAAGAACACAGATTGTTTATTATTGCCATTTTTCTGACCCTATAAACAAATAAATTCATCTAAACATATACATCAATATTGTGTTTGTCTGTAGTCGGTGATTTGAACATCTAATTACAGATGATGGCATGAGATAATGTTTCACCTTAACTGTCGGGAAATTTAATATTTTATAATATACCGCGGCAAAACGCTTGCTTTAATTTGCCCGAATTACTTTGATTGTGGCGGGTCATTCGTCTTCTTTTGGCAGCGCTTCAAGCTATACGTCCTATGAATAAGAGCCTAAAATAGTCATGAACAACATCACTTCGAAACCACTTCCTCACAATAGATGCAACAGATTACAGATAAAACGTTTCTATTGCAAAATGAACTTTTCATCATGGTGATGGAGCGCACATCGGACAAGATCATAAATATGGCGGTATATGGTCCTATTGTCTAGCGCTAAAGTATGTCTAAAATTAAGTTAAGTTTGAGACATGCAATTTGTGTGGTCCATTAAACTGTTATTGGCGGAAAAGGAACTGATTAATAGCGCATATTTACACTAAAGTACAAATTTGGTTCCATTTTGCAATATTTTCAATTGTACAATTTAGCTGTACAACTAAAGCAACATTATTGCGCAAATTCTTATATATCGTGACGCAGTGATGGTCAATTAAACCACAGCGTAAGTCAAATCATTTTGTCAATCTTTCATATAATAAAGATATTATGCTTTAATTGGTGTTGAATGAATAAAGGAAAAACACATAAATTACGCATAGAGGTCACTTGAGACGTGTCATAATGAACGAACTGTGAAGTGCGCGCTCAATGTCATGTATATATACTGGTTGCCCAGGCGCCAGGTTGGTTACTACCGCAATTCTTTTTTATCCACAGTAAGAACTGAGATTGATAAATCAAAACCAAATATCAGATCAAGATTCATTGAGGCGCGCTTATTACAAATATACACTATTATATTTAACATTAGTTCAACATGAATGAATTCTAATTTGTCATAATTTTAGTCTCAAAATCATGTCCTCACTCTGTAGGGAAATTTGTGAATCGGCAAGGATAGTAACGTACAAACCCATGTACAAAACCATGCATGCGCCTTGAGCTTGATCGACTTCCGGTTTGTATCTTTGTTTCGTGGAATGAGATTGTGATTTATGAGGACACCGTCCTGCCACGATGGTGGTAGTACCCGCTTACTATAATGTGTAGCCTTTGTACATAGTTCTTATATCATTGTTCTTAACTTCTTACAGGAACCTGCAAGTATAAACCTATGGATAATCCCACCAGGTGCCACTCACATTAGAAATTCATTCTTATGGACTACATGTCAATCTTTCTCATCTGATCTAAGTCGACCATATCTACTTTTCCTCTATCTGTAAAGGAGTGAATAACGTAATTGAAATACTTTCTATGCTTGTTTAATGTTGTGAGTTGGGTAGCAGCTTTATAACCGAAATAAGTAAGAACACATGCACATATTTTATTCTCATTCAAATATTTCGGAACTCCACCAGATCGGGGAAGAGAGTCTGGGAACGAGGTTGTATTGTTCATTCGTTTCTGGTGAATAGTACGTTTCTTCGGTTTAATATGTCACGAGTTTAGTTTGGAAATTACTTGTCGTATAATAACGTTATTATATGTTTACTATGGCTACCTATTTACTAATTTAGCATATCTCATATTGTCAAATGAAGGAAATTGGAATAATGATCTAATTGATTATTATCTTCATTGCTAATTTTAAGGAGTTTGTACATATTAAAATAGGAGTTACTTTGTACTATCCCAAATTTAACTACACATTTAGATCACAATTATGTGCAAAATCACTCCACTGCCCCATTGGCATTACTTTAACAAGTCTAGCTTGTAATCAAGAGTGCAAACATTGATTATGTTTCATGCCTTTGTGTTGTTTGTATTAATGTGACGTATTTTTATATCTTCTCAGCAAAATATAAGTAAATACATCAATGAAAAATAAGTATGAAATACTGATGTCTGAAAACCAAAAGAGAAAATGACAAAATTTATCAATCCTATTTCAGCTGGTATTGAGCCGCGACAGTGGATCATGGTAAAATGAACCATAACATGCCACCATATTCACGATAAATTTATTAAAACTCTGACTTTAGGAATGTATGCATGTTAAAACTTTCCAAATGGCATTGACCTTTTGTGACATATTACTGTCAAGATTAAAAACACTTCAACTTTTCGAGCAAAACCTGCCAAAGCCAAAGGCGTAAGATTGCTTTACCAGGAAGTTTACCGGGGAGCGATACAATATGCACGTTACAACAGCAATCATTAATACGTCCCACAACAAAGGGCCTTTGCCTGACCATGGGAGAGATACAATATGCACGTTACAACAGCAATCATTATACGTCCCACAACAAAGGGCCTTTGCCTGACCTTCACGATAAGACTGAAGAGTCCTGCTCTTCACTCTGGATTTTCAAGACGTTAAGAAAATAAATAAGACATATGACATCCGTGCAGTGTTATAGTCATCATTCTATAAATAAAAATGACTGTAATCTAATACGTACGGAAAATCCCAACCCTTATATCACGAGATCTTAAAACATTAGATTGACGAGAACAGTCAATCAGTCATGTATACATTTATTGATACCGATATCATGAACATTAAATAGAAAAAAATGAATTGAAATACACCTGACTGAGCTCTACAGCTGCTACTATAAAGTGTGATCACCGTCAAAAATACCAAAATTTAACTAGCAGTGTCTGCGTGCCATTCGACACATGGCTTGCTTGCATGGCATGCTTATAAGACAATTGGATTGGCTTGCATGACATTTGGGCTTTGGCACTACTTTCATGACATTCGGATTGGCTTACATGACATTTGGCACTGCCTACATGACATTCGCTTGTATGACATTCGGTGTCGATGACACAATGGGACGATATGTACGATGCGAACACACAATTAGTATAGACAGCGGACTACTTCAATATGGAGAATTTACTTCCAGCAAGGGCCTTTGATAAAAAATGTCGAGGTCTTGCTTGTATTTTTCAGGTAATTGAATCCCTCTCAATCGTCAGCTTTCTGGTGTCACTACCTACGCTGACACAGACCATTTAAAAACACTTCAACCTTTCGAGCAAAACCTGCCAAAGCCAAAGGCGTAAAATTGCTTTACCAGGAATCATTAATACGTCCCACAACAAAGGGCCTTTCACCCTTTGCCTGACCTCCACGATAAGACTGAAGAGTCCTGCTCTTCACTCTGGATTTTCAAGACGTTAAGAAAATAAATAAGACATATGACATCCGTGCAGTGTTATAGTAATCATTCTATAAATAAAAATGATTGTAATCTAATACGTATGGACAATCCCAACCCTTATATCACGAGATCTTAAAACATTAGATTAACGAGAACAGTCAATCAGTCATGTATACATTTATTGATACCGATATCATGAACATTAAATAGAAAAAAATGAATTGAAATACACCTGACTGAGCTCTACAGCTGCTACTATAACTTAGTGTGATCACATTATTATATAAATTCTATAGAAACAAAATTTTGACACTCACTCGTCAGAGTAAAAAGGAATATTATCATAGATATTTTGAGTACAACTTTGCTGTACTCATCAATACTGAACTTCTTAATATCTATAACTGGTTAACAGCTAATAAATTATCCCTAAACATAAAAAAAATCTAATTTCATTATTTTTCATTCTTACCAAAAACGGCTGGATTATGCGGTAGATTTGAAGATGTATGATGCACAGTCCAATACTTTCGTCTCACTAGCACCTAAAAATTACATTAAATACCTCGGTGTTCTCATGGACTCAAATCTTTCATGGAAATTTCATATTGGGTGCATCGCCTCTAATCTTACCAAACGAATTGGCATAATTGCTAGGCTGCGTCATTTTGTAAGTACTCTAATAAGTATTTATAAGTCCCTTATGCTGCTTTACCTAACTTATGGTATCGTTGTATGGGGATGTGCTGCCAAATGCTACATTGATAAAATCCTTAAACTCCAAAAACGCGCCCTTCGTTTAATATATTCTGCACACTATCTTTCTCATGCCATTCCTTATTTTCAGTCAGCTAATGTTCTGCCAATAAATTTGCTGTATTACAAATCAGTATCAATACTAATGCATGACGTATCAAGAACAGTAGTACCCCCCAATATTTTGGCTTTGTTTACCCCATTAAGTCAGGTACACGAACACAACACCAGATCTTCCACTAGGAAGAACTTCCACGTTGAATATTCAGGTTTAGACGTGCAAAACAAATCATTCTCAAGAATGGGAGGTAGAATTTGGAACAGCATTCCTACAGAACTACGTGAAAAACCAAAGAATCACTTTAAAAAAGTACTACAAATATTAGAAAAGAAAGACGATTATATTGATATTCTAACAATACAAAAAGAAATCGCAATAATCTAAAATGAATGTATTTCTATCGTATGCCTTTTGGTGATGAATAGTGCTTGTATTTACTAAATGAATTTTGAAATCTTCTTTAATTCCGAATGTGTGTATAGTTGCTGTCCACCAAGATTAGCTTTTGCTATTTGTGGACAGCAAGATTTTTATTGATTTTGTAAATTAGTTTGACATAATAAATTGAATTGAATTCAATTGAATTTCAATTTACTTCAACCATACGACTTCAATATGAGGGTAACGAACACAGACTACTCACCATAGATATCTTTATATATACACTAGATAGCGCATCTAATTATTCTGCAATTCAAAAATTGAAGCCGTGATTGCAGACTCAGGATATTCCCATGAAATGAGAAGACTCGTATGTTTTCTATTTCTTAAACAGGGAACTTAAACATTAAGTTAAACCTATTCCAAATATATTTCTATTCAAATACTATTCAAATGGTGAAAGTTATTGCTGTTTTTTAATTTAAGCGTTTATTAGCGAGTGGGAAACTCCAACATGGCCGCCATCTATCCAAATGGGGGTAACCGTTGGAATATTCTTGGCTTCAATTTTACTAAAAGAGATGCGCTATCTAGTGTATATAAAATATCTATGATTTCAATTTACTTCAACCATACGACTTCAACATGAGCGTTATACGAACATCGACTACTCACATTATAATACGATCAGCATTGGTCAGTGTTATTCGCTCAGAAAGTGCATGCTGTTATTTTTCTTTTGTATAGGACTGTTTTCTCTTTCATATTATCGTTTTAGTCTTCTCGTAAGTAAAGCTTCACAAATTTTGTAGAATTTGATCCTGATAATTTAAAAAAATAACTTGTACGATGCCGATGGTAGTAAGTTTCCATATAATTCGACATTTTAGGTATCTCGCTCGGAGGAAATTCAGAGGGAAAATTACACAAGTATATTTTAGACCTGACTATATACGGGAAATGCAGCCATAGGCCATTCGGCAGGAGTCGATCTTTTGGCTTCGGCCGTGAGTCGCCCGAAATTTCCAATTAGAAAAATCATTCAACATTTCGTTCAAAATAGAGGAAGATCATGCCCAAGCGGACAACTAATTAATCATCTAATAGAATTTTTTCAAATAATCAGGATCAAATAATATAAGAGAAAACTGCAGTCATTTCATTAAAAGAGGTAACAGTCACATAAATGCAGTAGAACTGCAAACTTCAGCAAATTAAATATTCGGAAAATTAAATTGAAGTATAGTCCAAATATATAGATTGTGTGCATTCGCATGGCACATGTCATATATAAGCCTGTGCAAATGTCAAATAAACCAATCCGAATAAACAGTGCCAAATGCATGGAATGCATGCACTGCTGAATATCGCTAAGCTAATTTTAGCGGTGATCATAAGGAATTAAATTATACATACGATAAAAATTAACAAAATGAAATAGTATAATAAGTGGAATATTACATAAATAAGCTGGGATATAAAACATATTCTATTTTGTCTTCATACTGTGCATCAGTATTACTAGAAAAGTTAGTCATGCACTGTTACTGTATATACAATTAAGAAATAAAAATTTCCAGAAATTAATTTTTTCAAATCCAGTATTTTACAACATTCGAGGATTTTTTCGAATTTTGACATATACCGTACGGGTAATACATTGCTCCTCTAATTCCACGATCTATATTTAGTTTACTCATCAAAATTGTGATTACAATGTAATAAAGATAAAATTCATTAAGATTTCGGCATGTAATTATAAAAGTTCTCATTCCTACAGGCTATATACTCTATAGAATTCCATTTCATGTAAATATATAATTTATACAATATGAACAAGAATGTTTTAACAAATAAGCGCCAGGTCTTAAGAGTCACATGCAGCAAGTACTTGACAAAAGCGTGTGAAAATACGCCAAACTACATTAGTTTACTGAAGTTTAATTCTTTTCCTGTCTAACAAACGGAAGTTTATACAAGATACTATCTCTTCTCAGTCTGAAAGTATTCCAGATGTTGATATTTTAAAACCTGAGAAAAATAGATAGATAGTTATCATCTTTTCATTCTTCATAATTGTCAAAGGTTATTTTATAGTCAGATTCAAATCAACGTACTTTTGTCAGTTGGTTAAAATACATTATAATTAGTATTATATTACTAAAACCATATGTGAAAGATCTATATGCAATTCCCCGGTACGGTACGCTATACATTACCATTATCCCTGACTCCTGAGTGACTGTTTTATTTATTTATACTTTCGTTTACGAGAAGGTCTCACGCAGTCACCATGCAAAAGTGATTTTCGTGAGAATCCAATTTTGAAAATGTTTACCGCTTTTGTAATTACTATAATATTGTTTTCGTAATTGTTATGCCTGTGGACCGATCATCATTTTTACTCATCATTCACTGTGACGCGGGTTATAAATAAATTTAATTGTATATATGCATGTTTATTTAATTTGTCTATTTAAATTTCTAGAAGAAACGACAGTGACTGATAAACAAATCATTGTGAACTAAATCAATATCGTAAAAAATCGGAAATTTGGATTAGCGAAGTCGACTAAAAGTTTTGAAAACCTTGCCCTTGACCTTTACGGGAAACGTAATGAAATATATATCTCAAACTCAATAATAATCCATGAACTCATTAAATTAGCCAACCATATTGCTTTATTTTGATCACATGATAATACTGGATTAGTAGTGATTTATTCGTATGAGATGTCATTCCAAATCCTTCAATTCCTCGCATTTTGACCCAGTCCTCGCGGCTTTGCCTCGGAAACTAGTCCAGTCCTCATAGTCGGATTTGAAATGGATTACTTACTGCAACGCTTATATTATGATAAAACAACTACTTCACCCTTCCTCTGCGCAGACGCCGGCGTTAATACTCATAATACCCGTACCAATTTATACCAAATTTATCCGTGCTCGACCATTGAAAATATAGAGCATTATAGGTAGTCCGAGCACGAATAAAAAGGGTACGGGTAAAAAAATTGAGCGCAGTGTAAAGACTGTAGACGGGCCTTTACGGTCTTGTTGGGACTTCACATTTTGAAAGAAATTCCATCTGACTAGCCTACTAGTACTAGGATATAGACATGTGACGGGAGAGCAAAGGGGCATGCAATTTGCCCTGGCCCCCAAATAAAAATTAAGTGAAATATCCTATACTCATATGTATATATTAGTATCCTGTCTATTATTGTGTCCAACTTATGTCATTCCCGAAACCCCATGCAAATGTCATAGTCGTTTCATCAGCAGAGGGTACCAGACTCTATAGCGCGCCTAAGTATATTTTATGGAAACAAGAGAGCGTTATTTAAACGTTTAGATCCATAGGCCGTCACATAAGGCTAAAAATATGCCTAGAAAGTGACTTTCGTTGCACACATAGGGAGGCTAATAATTTCTTCCATAAAGTAGTAGAGAAGCATGCCAAATGAAATAATAAAAAAGCCCCCGTTCATAAGTGTGCACAACAACGAGAAATCGACTATATTCTGGTGATGACGTCATCTATAGTTCCGAAAGGTAAAAATTTTCGAATTTCGAAAAATGTTTAATGCCATCAGATTGAGGTGCATAATTGGACAAAAAAACTATATTACACTGAAAACTTTCAGTCGTTCGTTACAGAGATATCACGTTCCAAAGTTTTTAAAAAATGCTGAGTCAGCATTTATGTTTCTCCAGTAAAGCTTCTATTGACAGACTGTATGCAGGGAAAGGGCTTATTTTGCACTTGTACCTTAAATTGTGCACCACAGTGTGTTAATTAAAGTGGTTATGGAAGTCAGAAAACTAAAATGCGACTAAAAAAATTCAAATTGTTTAACCCGTCATCTAAAGCCTTTGAAAGAAACCTAGAAGATGAAATCTGTAGCACATGTCGCCAGACTAACTAATTTCACCATGATCGGACAGTTCTTTTGAAGTAGTTCTGATATTGCATGTCCATATTTTACCAATGCACGCTGCACACAAGCAGGCCATGGCTTATTATTACTCAACAGGCACATTACTGAAAAGGCAATATCATTGAACATCGAAAATCTGCTATTAATTCCACTCTGTAGAATAACATCTTTACAAGAAATTCATTTAGTAGTCATTCATTCAGCTACAGGCAGCCAAGGGTCCATAAGTCACTTCACAGTGGCTAGCTTTTTCTTAAGCAATATAGATGCATGATACAGAATTTGCAGTTCGATCATTCAATATGGACTGTGTAGCACTGTGATTATCATATCCCATGTTGTACAAAACTATCAGTGGCGGCGGAACAGGGGAGGGGGATTTTTTGTTATAGGTCCGGAAAAATATTTTTCATCCCTTTTCTTGTATATGTCCGGAAAAATTTTTCTACCCCTAAAATGGTACACTGACAGAAATTTTTTTGGGCGACGGGGGGGAAGGGGGGAGGTCACGGAAAAAAAAATTAGCCCCCCGAAACTGAAATCCGTTCCGCCGCCCCTGAAAACCATTGAAGTTGTTTCACATGATGTCTTACTATTATTATTATTATTATTAAATTTGTCACAAATATTTACAATGACACTGATAAACAATATACATAACAAGCTACAAGACAACACACGTGACTGGAATGTGGAACAGGACTTACGTCCCAATTAATACCTCACCCCATATATACTTCATAGGCACTTTCTCGGTGTGAGAACAAACGAAAGCTTAACACTAATCTGAACTTGATCATTATATAAATTCTAACTGATTTACGGTTGTTCGTACACCGAGCTAGTGGGTGAACTTTACTGAACTGAATACTTAGTACTTATATTACAAACATTTTCTTCACAAAACTAAATATTAGCTACGGTTATTAGGAAGTTTGTATGATTTTGACTTGATACTATATAAGTTATTTAAACGAGTTTTAAACGAACATAAACTACTGGATTTCTTAATTTCAGTTGGTAGGCTGTTCCAAAGTTTTGCTGATCTAATAAAGTAAGAGTTTTGAAAGTATTCCTGATTATGTTTTATAATGAGGTGGAAGTTATTTTCGTCATAGTTGCGAGATTGATAGCTGGGATTGTAAGTGCATAAATATTTGTTTATATCCATTGTTATGAGGTGGTGTTTGGATTTGAACAGCAGTATCAGATCAGAAAGTTCTCTTCGGAATTCCAGTGGTAGAAGATTTGTTTTCTGCAACCGGTCCACGTACGACATGTCAGGATAATTCAAGATAAATTTTGTGGCCCGCCGTTGAACATTCTCGATGAGCAAACAATGCTTAATGGTGTAAGGCGACCACACGCTGCTTGCGTATTCTAGCTTGGGTCTTACCAGCGCACAATACAGAATTCTTCTTGTGTTGGTATTCTTCACTTCTTTACAGATCCTTTTGATGAGACCAAGTGTTTTATTAGCCTTGGATACAATGCTTTCTATGTGTTTCGACCAGGATAGGTTGTTGGATATGAGCACACCAAGGTCCTTGAAGGTCGACACTTGTTCGAGTATGTTCTCATTGATTGAATACTGAGTTCGCGTAGGTGCTCTTTTTCTTGAGAAGTGCATGGTCTTACATTTTGTTGCGTTTAGTTCCATTTGATTATGAGCAGTCCAGTTTGTTATATTGGAAAGATCAAGTTGAAGTAAAGTAGAAGATGTGGGAAACAAAAGTGGTCGGTAAAGCTTTGAATCGTCCGCAAATAACGCAAGTGTGGTATTATTTTCGATGTAGGTTGGAATGTCGTTACAGTAAACAAGGAATAGCAAGGGTCCGAGTATAGAACCTTGTGGCACACCTGATGTTACGGGAAGCCATTCAGAGCAAACGCCGTGAAGAACGACTCTTTGTTGTCTATCTGTGAGGTAGCTTTGGAACCAAGATAATAGAGATCCCCTGATTCCCAAAGTCTCAAGCTTACGCAAAAGAAGATGATGCGGTACTTTATCAAATGCCTTTGAAAAGTCCAGGGGCCGATTGTATAAAAAAGTGATTAAAGTTAACTATAGTTAGTGGAAACGTCATCCAATAAAAAGCGCGTATTTGAGAGTTAATCACTATTTAACTACAAAATAGTGATTAAAAAAGTGATTAAGAGTTTTATACAACGGCCCCTGGTTATTTCAGCAGCGAACGAAAAAGAGTTAACTACTTTTTAACTGCAGTTAGCGCTAACTACGTTTTTATACAACCGGCCCCAGGTATATGGCATCAACTTCATTCCCACTTGCGACTGATTCCAGAATTTCATGGTATACTTCAAGCAGCTGTGTGGTTGTGGATTTTCCTCGTATAAAACCATGCTGCATTTGATAAATGTGTGGCTCGAGATGCTGGTAGGAATGATTGTGAACGCAACGTTCTAGGACTTTCGACAAAGTGCAAAGTAGTGAGATTGGCCTGTAGTTCATTGCCAGCGTTGGATCTTCGCGTTTGAATACGGGTGTAATGTTCGCCATTTTCCATTTAAGAGGTACTACACCAAGATTCAATGACATGTTAAATATCTCACATAACGAAGGTGCAATAACGTCCGCAAGTTCGATCAGCAGTCTGTTCGGAATGTTATCTGGACCACACGCCTTTCGTGAATTTAGTTTGCGAAGAACTCCGACAACTTCAATTTCCGAGAGTTCAATACTGGAAAGCTCGGGCATTGATGACGTTCAGGGTAAGGGAGATTTATTAAATGATTCCGAGCTCTTAG